TGTTTGCATGTGCCGTGGAAACCGTGATAAACAATAAAAGTGCAAAATGGGCACAAAAAATAAGGCAAAATTTAAGGCAAAACGAAGTGTAGGACGTAATGAGACTGATTCTGGAGACTTTATGGCTCTAACATCCGCACAATTTCTACCATAAATTGCGTGCTCATTTCCTTTTCCTTTTATTTGTCGGATTTTTAACAATTGCCTTGCGGTTTAGAATAGGAAAGTTTTCGATCAGTAGTGTTATAATCATTTAATTTGAGAAAGTTAATAAGAAATAGTATTGGATAATAGTAAAAGACGAAATAGAAGTTAAACACCTGAATATGCACCTATTTTTCTTATTACTTCAGCAATTTTAAACTGTGCCCCATTTTCTCCCATTTTGCTCCTCCTTGAAAGTGAATTCTTGCAGACAATCCAAATAAGACTTTGCTAACAACAATTTTGCTGCAGAAAGAGAAGTTATTTTCGTCCTCCATGTAAAACTAAAAACTAAAAACTTATTCTAGAATCACAGTTCGAAGTTAGACTAGATTTATTCGACATGATTGCCCTAAGTTCTTCCGGTGCTATTATTGCAGCCAAAGGAGTGGCTTCCTGAAGTTTTGCAATGTAGAAGTACGAAAATTTTCTCTAATTTCCGTAGAAAGAGGGAAAAGCATCAAAACCCATGAATTTTACCCCTTAAAGGCATTGCACTATGTCGAAAGTTCTGGAGAGAGGCCTTCCGAAAATCTCAATAAAATATTCTGCCTTGAGCTTGGTTTTGTTCCCTTCACCTCTGTCGAGTTCTCTCGCCATCTTGAATTCCCTAAAATTGGAAGGTGTTCCAATTGCACTTACCACTATTTCGCCCTTAAAGCAAGACACTCATAATTAGAGCAGCTCGCAAATTGAAAACCTTAAGAAAGGTGTTTTTTCCGATCCATTATAGCTAAGAATAAAAGCGGCTTCCTATTAGATATCCCAGTCACGACCTACTTATAACAGAAATAAGTAGTTTAACTTCCGAGGTGGCGATGGAAAGGGGTGAAATCAGTGATACAGGCTGATTTCAGATGCGTGCAATGAAAAGAACCACACTATATAAAAGACAACTTAAACACAGTATGAATGATCCTTCATCCCTATTTCTTATAAAACTAAGACCGAATACATTGCATTCATTAAGAAACGCGGGCGATTTATTAAAACTTGTCAGCAGTTTCACAGCGAAATGAAATCCCCTTCCTTTTTCTTCTCGCTCCATTACAATTATCGGCGGACTTTCAAGGATTCAGACAAGAAAGAAACCAAGTTCATTGAATTCACGCACGCTTCTCATTTTTCGACAGAAGGTGGACGCAAAACTTAAGGTTCACGTAATTTGCAATGCCCTCCGCATTGCAAAAAGCAGTTAATGTGCTTCTCTAGCGCTTTAACTCTGGACTACACGGCTTCAGCCTCGTCATCTATAACAATTAACCGGAGTTTACTGCCTACTTAACTGTCTATACGGAAAGAAGCATTTGCTTAGAGAAGGATAAAAGGGAAATGCTTTTGAGCTATCAACCAAGGCTTGACGCTTGGCAACGCATGTTATGATCAATTAGACCTTTGTGATTCTCGTGCAGGCCACTTCATTATGCACTGGAAGGGAATAAAAGTGGGGACGGAGGACAAATTCCCTCCTTTGGACCAAATGCAAAGAAATAATAATCCTTCCTGGTTTTTCCAGAAGATGCTTTTAAATATTCTAACTAGGAGTGAGTTCTGCCCAGAGCCTGATGGCACGAAAAAATGGACTTTTAAAATGAAAGTTGGCTTAGTTTGGTTTGCGTCATGCCATATTAGAGGTGGGAAAAGGATATCATCACTTCCTATTTGCACAAGTTAGCCATGGTGAACGGAGGAAGGTCCGCCCTTAAAACCGACCACAAGAGGTCACACCAACCAAGCCGGTCAGACACAAAGTCAGGTGGGCAGAGCAAACGCTCGCCCTGCCAGCTCCATCAGCCACCGACATCACTACCCTACCGCCGAGTTTATCGTCCGCTTTTTCTTCCAAGAGAATGCAAGAAGGCGCGTGGTTTGTGGCAGAAATCATCTTAAATTTCCGCCAATAAGCCTCCAGAAGCGCAATCCAAGCCTATTTTCTCATCATAGGTGGGGATGAGAGAGTAGGGGATAGAGGTGGCCAAAATAAGAATCCAGCTCAAAGTTCGCGCCTTCCCCTTTCTTGAGGGAAAAAATTACAGATCCAAGGATGAATGTTGGTTGCAGTTTTTTCGTATTTTTCCACCAAGCGGAAGTCAAGCCTCAAATCAAGTGTTCCATGTGAAAGGTGTGTAGCAAGACAGGAAAACAAACCAAAGAAAACACCACAACCAAAAAGGACTTTAAAAATAGCTGGGTTATCATATTGTGAGGAGTTCAAGAGTAAAAATAAGAACAAAGCCATCCAGCAACAGAGTGAGCGTTAATCTTTTGTGCAGAAGGTCAATCTGAGGCAGATTTGACAGATACAATGCTTATGTCAATCGAAGGGTTGATTTGGTGGTGAATCGGGACTCTACTAAAAGGTAATAAGGCTGCTAGCCTTGCCAATCGCAAATTAGTGCAGCCTTGATGCTAATTTAAGCATTCAATTTCGCCTTTTTTCGATGTTTGCCATCGCTACTTTAAGTGACTCTAAAAAGACAAAATCCATGAGGTATGCATGACGCAGCGCACTGGTTAGTGGGGAGTGATGAGGCGACTCTTAATCTCCGAATGACGCGACATGCCTAATGTGTACTAAAAATAGGCACCGTGGGTGTTGGAAGGGGACAAGGGAAAAAGAAGAATGCTGGGGAAATGATGAAGATCTGTCCATCAGTGAGTGAGGGAGTGAATGAGTGAATTGGGACATCGGTAAGACATTGTGGCGAAAATCAAGCCAATTACAATTCACCATCCCCAAGGGACCACATCCACTCGTAACCATTTGGCATGATTTTTACTTTGATAAATAAGCAGCTATTTGTACCCTAAACACGTATGTCTATGTAAGAAGTCACCTACAAAACGGACGCAAGTCATTATTAGCACGCCCACAGAGAGTGGGAAACGCCAACAATTTAGGAGCCATAAATTCACAAAACAAGCAAAAATGTGATACGGGTTTCAAAAACATTCGGCCTCAACTTTATTAAACCCAATCACAAATATTTGCAAATCAGATATCGTTAGCTCATGTGATACGACTGAAAATGTGAAAAATGCTCAGTTTAACAAAGTTGTGCACATTTCCGTTTGAGGCACATTAACTAGAGGTCAACTTACCGATAGTATTTATTAACCAACATTAAGGTAATTTAAAAAAACAAGTGTAAGTTTTAAAAGGACAGATTTGTGCGTTAAATTTTGCAGAGGAAATTAACACGTAGGCATCAGCAAATCGCGACAAGCAAGAGGTTTGAAAAAGTCAGATTTTTAGCACATGCGCGAAAGCGGTTGCAAGGATGAATATAAAAAGGGAATCTGAACGCTTGTTTACTACCATAAAGGCGGTATCAAGTGACAAGTCGTTTCGTAAAATTATTAAAAAAACTTAAAACGCTGCAAGAACATAAAAAGAAGAACAACTACTAGGTGTAAAAGATATGCCAAAACTAGCGAAAGAATAATTACTTAACAACTATGTTTGAAATTCATAAGGCCAGAGAAAAGTTACAGCAACTGGCAGTGGGAGCGAAAAGGCAATCTATCAAAAGTGGCATCAAACGAACTAAAGAGGACGATACACTAAAATGCTGTCAACTTAACCCAATTTTTAGCATAAAAGGTTAGAATTCAAGGTTAATCACCAAAGTAGCGTAATTTAATATCGTGCTTTGGTGCCAAAATATTTTAAAATTTAGCAGCTACATAGAGCTGAAATATCAAAAATTTACAATGATAGACATGAAGCAATCACCAAAATGAAATACGCATCTTCAGATCGCCTAAACTTACAGTATGATTAGAGTGCCACTTTTGGAGTAAAAAGTCCGAAAAGGTGTATGAGAAAAGATACTCGAAGTGGTTCAACACGTATTCCCGCAGGATGGGACGACCTTCGAAAAACCAATCAGCGATCGAGATCACATTTAAAGTTTTTTAGGATGGAATTATAGTAAGACTAAACAATTCGATATATATAATAATCAAAGTTGTAATATAGTTTCGCAAAAGTAAAAAATTAAATAGAAGCAAATTTTTAAAAATTTTATTGCTTAAAACGCGATCATTTTGATTTATAAGGCGTCTTGTGCGAAAAAAACTAGTTTGCTTGCATAAATTTATAGCTGCAAATAGACTTTATCGTCCTGAGTAAACGCATAGCACCATAGACTTTCCACCAGTCGGAAAAAGGAGTTAAGTGAAGCTGGCCACACGTTTCCCAAGGAGGACTAAGCAGAGGAGCCCGAGCTTGGCCCGGAGGCCATTTCACAGATGCAGGGCCAGACAAATCCTAAAACAACTGCTAAACGTCAGATAATCACATAAACAAAACGATACAAAACGAACATTTAATGTTATCAAAAATTATCTATTTCATTTTAGGTTTTCGTCCAACTAAACCATTTTCCTTATAAAATCCATTTTTAAACAAACTATAATATTTTAAAAAATTATACGGTTTAGCGTGCTTTCTGCGAGTTGTCCTAATCACGTATTTTCTTGATTAAAAATAAGGTTTTGTTTTATCTATTATTTACTTGTTGTTGATTGAAAAAAATTGGTTAGCCAATGGAATTCGGAGGTAAATGGTAATTGATGCTATTTGTTTGTGCGAGCCTTGCCGTGGGTGTGTGACTACTTTTGTTTTATTTTGCACAACAGATACGTTTTATATAAGTGGAAACGCATCCTTGTTTTTTATTTTTTTATGAAACATTTTCATTCCTTATTTTGGCATGCCTTATTGGCATCTTAGTTTAGAAACCAATTTTTGTTGCCGTTTTGCATATATTTTGTAGATCTCTTGTACTCACATGAGTTACGTAGTGCTGCGCTATCTCTTGTGCCTTCGGCTTCCCTTTTTTAATCGAAACCTGCGTGGGTTAGCTTCTGAAGTGTTGGAGAGTGAAACGCCGGCCGACGTTGCACCGCAGCCGCTTCAGTCAAAGAAAGAGATTAAGCCCCTCGTCATCCCTGGTCTGACGTCCACAAAAACAGGAAAGATTGAGACCTTTCAACCAAAGGTAAAAGGTGGCGCTTTTGTTTTTCTTACACAGGCAACTCTTCATTAGGTTTGCTGGATTTCCTGGATCACATTTTTTTCTGTTTTCATATCGTAACTATTATGTAATTTAGCGTAGTTCTTGGTGTTGCCTAATATTCCTTTTTGTTTCATGCATATTATCTGCTATCTTTAAAATGTGGGACCTCTCTTCGCAGCGGAAAAATCAGTGTTTTACTCCACTCCCTAGTTGCCATGAGTACAGTGAATTAACTATGTAGCATTTTGTGATCCAATTCTACGTTTTTTATCTGTAGTCATATTCTGCTTCTAAATGCTTCCTTTTCCTTAAACACTAGTTTTCCGAAATTCATGAACAACAGATCGAGGACGATGACTGGTCAACTGTATGGCCCTGTGAAAATTTCTTCAGTCCTTATGTCTTCCCAGTTCCTATCCGCCAAGGCCATAGCAAGGTTCCTCAGTCGTTGTCTCCTTATCTCACCTCGGCTTAATCGGTTGCATTCAAGTTTAGCATCGTACACTATTGAATGTTGTTGAACTGTTTTTTGATCAATATTTATCATTGATACGAATTATCTGAATTTTTAGATGGTCAATTGTAAACCCATTTTGTTCTGTTATTCTTTTTCAACTTGTTAGGGCTTATCTAGAAGTGTACATAACTTTGTTGAAAGTTTTGAACTATCCGTCTAAAGCATCTTATCCTGCGATAGAACTTGGTGGAGAACAGTGGTTTGTCTCCAGCAAAATATGCGAACGCTGAACTCCTCAAAATTCCTAATTTTCTTCATCTCACCCCACGCCATATTGAAAAGCACTGCAAGGCATTGCAAAGTAAGTTATGCCTTTTGATATCCCATGATTTTACTACTTTTTGGTGCATAGAATTCACTACCAAGTGGCCTAGCGGTCTTCGCACTGATGAAGATGTGGATCGTCATTATCCTGTGGAGATAGTGACACATTCTTTCACGAACAGTGCTCCATCCATTCGTGACAACCGAGCCAGACGGGTGACTATTCGGGTTCGTTCGTTTTCTGTGACTTAAGCGCCATCCACTTGCTCGTATTGTGGTAGTCATAATTATAAGGGATGCTGCCTTCTAGGTTTCACTCAAGTGGCTAGGTCTGGATGAGCGCAGTCGACTGAAACTTCTACGGTTGGCGAAAAGCTATGGTTTTGAGCGTGGAATGGCCCAATTCTATTCTGACGAGGATGTCCTGGAATTAACCTCAGAGAGGTGTCCAATATCACTTCAAAATTACGATTACCTCATCTATGTTTTCACTGTGCTCACTATGGAATCGAAGGTCAGCGTTTGCTGCGTACTTATTTTGTTCAAATTGCATGTTTCTCGAAGTACTTTTTTGCTCATAGAACTGGCGATTTCTTACTCCTTTGTAACTTGAACTATCACTTGAACGATAGCATGAGTGTCTCAACATTTCCTTTCTGGAAATTGAGACGTAAATGACCTACTTCTTCCTTTTGATGTGATTGGTCAGCATCCCAACCGATAAGGAAATGGAAACGTCTGTTGGCTCCTTGACCTACCTATGGTTGTGTTGCCTTTTGGTTGATCATGGATTTTGCCACCTATTGTTCTTACTCGTCGTTTATGCGCATTTTTATTAACGCAATGAGGAACTTGAATCAATCTTCCAAAAATTACAAGAATCTATCATCCACTGTTGTGTCATCAAAAGGTGTGTAGATCGTAGGAAGAGGCCATCCGACTATTCACATGATATTTCTCAGCACACGAGATTCATGGTCTTTGAGGATTTCGGATGGATTTTAGCTGATGCCATAGTTTTGGGCTTGTTGGTGTATTTGGGGTGTTGCATACTAAAAATTCGCAGCGATTTAGGGGTCCCGCAATCAACTCCTTGTGGGTTTCGTTGTCGTCATCCCATTTAGCAAAATTATTACGTGCTTACTTGCTTACTTCCTTTTTACCTTGCAGAAACACGAGCCCTGGGAAGAAGAAGAAACGGGTAGTTATTTGGACTTCAAATGGGAGCGCTCCAAACAACGTACTCGCATTTCCAAGCTTCTCGGACTTCAAGACGATCTCTCCAAAGTGAGTGCTAAAGAGCATGCTAAAAGGGCAGTATTTTTCTTCACTTCTTGAGAGGCATTTTGGAACATGTTTCTAAGCAAAGATTTGCATTTTATGGATGCGATGGCTAGCCGACTTAACGCAGTTCCAGATCCCTAAAGTCGTCAATAGATCCTTTCAGAGGCATCAAGTAGCATCCAGAATTACTTGAAAGGCTTCCAAGTCCACAGCTCTTGTTTATAAGTTCATGCAAACAATTCATCAACAGGTCAAATTCTTGGTTATTTGGGTAAATTCTCTGAAAGAGGGTGGTATAGGCGGTATTTTTTCTAAAAGTGTATCGTCATTTTCGTCTTCTCCTAGGTCGATGAGGTGCCGGGCGTGAAAGCCTACCGTGCAGCATTGGAGGCGATCTTCCACACCCCAACAGAGGAGAATACGGGTCCCTGGCAGCACCCCAAGAAGCAGCCAAAGCCTCGTCACTACCACTGGCCGGAAATTAAAGATGTGGCCTTTGAACCTGTGGTTGGCGCTGACGTTGAAGCCAATCTGGAGGCCTATGCAGCGGCTGTGAAACGGCTGTATACGGAGAAGGTTTCTTAGGGTAGAACAAATTGTGTAAAGATCTGCGGTTTTGCTTTCTTTCCTTTTTGTCCGTCAGTCTGGATGAACTAAGTAACGGATCACACCCGCTCTGAAGGGGCTTAATGAAGCAGACGAGTCTGTATCCAGCATTTTTATTGACGCACAGGTGGGCTGTGTTACTGACAGCAAGGTAGCAACTTGGACTCACTTCTTCTTGTTCTGCATATCCAGCAGAAACGAATGTGGTGTGAGGACGATGTATTTGTCATTGTCGCTTACACGTGCACTCGCTCACCCCTCTCTTTCACACTTGCTGTTCTCTCAATTCTGTGCAACGATCCCAACTGAAGTGTTGATTGGGGAGTTTTTCTTTGATTACGTGTTCCTGCTATTGGTACTGCGGTTATTTGGTCTTCTTTGGAAGCAATAACGGCGTGTTTTATCATCATCAGCATATCACACACACTCAAGTAATGCAGGCTTGGTTTTGTGAAGGCGAGGTGTGTCGCGGAGCAGCAGATTGTTCGGATTAGAGTAACCAGCATGAGGAAGGTTTGTTTGACACTTTCCTACCGCGGAATGTTGGTTCGAAGTAAGGAAAGCGTGGAAATTGTGTGGGGTTGTCGCGCAATTCGAAGATGGTATAATGCTGGTCTTCGTAAGCTCATGGTTCACCTTGAAGGTTGTGCAACTGATTATAGGTCATCTCCAACCTCTGAAGGACCTTCTAGATCTCTACTAGATGGTGTGTTTCAAAATGCAAAGTAATGCAATCCACTTCCGTTGGAGTCCTTTTGGGATTATAGAAACGAATTTTACATGGTAGGAGTAAAGTGCGCATGCTTGAGGGGTGTCTTCTCTCCTACTTATACACAATTTAAGTAGTGCATTTTTCAAATACTATAGGCCCGGGGTGAAATCACTTGCTGTCACTAATCTCAAAGCCCTGAAAGTTGGAAAAATTTCCTTATGCCTCATGAGCGAAAAATCATTGAGTAGGCCTAGCAGATGTGTTGTGACCGCTGTAAAACTTGCGATGTTGCTTTGCAGTCGCCATAGTAAATAGTTCCACAAAATTGCAGTGCAGGCGGACTGAATGCAATCGATGGCACAAAATGCTTTGGACCGCTTTGAATAGGTGGTCAGATAAATGAAGTTGTTGAGGCGTTGCAAGAGGTTTTAACGGCTTTAGAAATGGGGTTTGTTTGTTTAAATGGTGGCAGAAGGTCTGTGGACATTGTTCGCTTTCCTTTTCCTTGCATGACGACTGCTTTTTGGTTTACATACATCCGATTCCTTTCGAGTCACCTGATGGGGCAAAGAAAAGTGGCAGAAATAGTGGGACTCCCAATCAGATTTGTATTAGAGCGAGGTTGAGTTTCGGGATGGTAGGTGCTCTCAAAAACTCGCCAAGATTGATCATCTGCTGAACCGTGTCTTCAAGGGCAGCTAATCCACTTCTCTATCTCATGTGTTGTTGGTATCATTGTCCAAAGTGGATAATTATTGAAGATTTCTTTATAAATTCACAGGTGCAATAAGCCGTTCAAAGAAGGTTTGGTGGCAAAATAGCTGCACTGGTTGTGATAGCAGCAAAAATGCATGCCTACTGAAGGTAAGAGGGAAGAAGGAAGGGAAGTATCCGTTTTTTATATCCCGCGTATATTTGCTGGGAGTTGGGGCTACTTGCTTTGTGCCTACAAGGAGAAGTTTAACCTGTGCTTAGTGGGCTATGCCCGGCTGCCAGAAGCATTTTTTCGGGTAAGCAGATGGCCTTTCTTCTCTGCAGTCCTTGTGTAGTAAAACTAGCGATACAATCAGCATAGTGTTGTCCTCGCTCCTCCTCCTCCTCCTCACCCGTTCTCTAGAATTTTACAGGCTAAAATTGGCACACTCGCTGATTTGATAGTATGGCGCAGTGAAAACAAAAGGCCATAGCCTATCTAAGTGGCACAAATAAGCGAGAACAAGCTCCTTTAACGATGGCTTAGCAAATAGCTGAGGAACGCTCACATGGATGTCATGCCTTAGGTGGATCTCAATCTCCGAGGTCACGATTCCTCCGCCTTCTTCAAGTGGGATCGCTTCAAGACTGAGGCTTGCGACTTATTTATTTTAAGACAAATACAAATATCACGAATCCTTTGATATGACGACCTTCGTAGTTGTAAGAGAGGATCATAATAGTACCGGTGATTATGTGTTTATATTCCAGAGGAATTTTCTCGCTACTTATGCTCAAATTCAGTAGTACAAGCTCTAGGTTTAAACAAAGCGTTTCGTTAGTTTAGCCCTAAATGCGCCATGTTATGTCAATTCTTTAAAACGAAAGGCAAATTAACTTATCAAAGGGAGCATCGATGTCACAGCAAAGTGTTTACTCTGTCATAAAGTCATCGTGATTACTACCTCGGATGCTGATTTTCCACCTGGGCTTGATAAAGAAAGATAACAACTGTTTTATTCGATTTGAGGCCCTAGGCTACTTTTGTTCGAATATACGGAAATCCTGTTGGATCACAATTGCTTGCATGAGGACGCCATTTTAACGTTTTGCCTCTACACTCGTAGAGCAAATGGCACTTAGCACAGTGTCCTGCCATCACGTTCAAAAAGTGGGCGAAGGCGGTGGCTTGTGCGCTGGGAGCCTTCAGTTATTGCTGGACTGATTGCATGAGGTCACTTCTTTTATTAGGTGAGGCAATAAAGTGGAGAGCTGTAAATTGCGATTTTATGGACTTGGCTTTAGCCATTTCCTTCACCCAGTAACGAAGTCCAGTCAGTCAAGCATTTATTACGTTTGACCTCAAAACGCAAAAACATATCACTTTTGCGCCGTAACCCGGTGTTTGTGCTACTCCATGCGTGAGGAAACGAATTCTCATTCGCCCCTCACCCCAAGTCAATGACACTCCTTGCTGACCTTAAACGGTAGTTTAGACAATTTGGTGTTCAGTGGAAATTTTGGCGGAACAAGCTCGCCTCCTCATACTGGTTTAAGAATGACTGCTGTCAATCCTAAAGTAGGGCACAAACAGAAGGTCTACTTCACAACTTGCTGAGTATCTTCCGCTAAAGGCGGACACGGACAATGTTGGCATGCTTTAAGCTCTGGTACGTTGGCGTAGAGACGCGCGCTTTCCAATCCTCCAAGCAGCGGCACTGTGCCTCTCCCTCACCGGCGCAGTTTATCATGCCTTTGGAAGGCGACGAGGGGCGTCGAATAAGTCACCGGCACGGAGGGAAGCAAAGGCCAAGCATTTCTTCACATTTTGTCCCTTTCCCGAGTTACTGGAGTTACTTATCCTAACGCATCACTTTTACCCTCATAAAAGCAGAAAATCTATTTTCGTATGCAATTTATTTTCCATAAGTTGGTTCATTTCATGTGGCCGATATTGAAAGCGTTCCCACCTTAGTTAAAGGGAAAGACGATCTCGAGATGGCGGGACATCGGTTGAAGTCGCCTGAATTGATGACGAAGTTGAGGAGACAGAAATGTGTTTGCTATGACACTTGTTCTCACCGAGTCGTCTCTATGCGCACCGAGTCGGTAGAATTCATTCTTTGTCCCCTGAGTGGAGAGGGTTCAAGCAACTTTGCAGCTAACCTCCAGTAAGGCCAACACAATACCGAAAATTGGTCTTTCACATAGCATTGCCAACCTCCATCACCAGTGCGACGTCCTCAATCCAACTCTAAAGGTGCTCCAGTACTGATAAAATCGGAGTGGTAAAAAATAGCCCTGTCTGATCGTTTAATGCCTTGCCCTGTCAAGATCACTGATCACCTACTTAAGATAAACACTTTATTCAAGTGCAAAATTGTTTTTTCCCCAAAATCGAGCGAAGGTGATGATGCAGTGGGGAGAAAAGGTGGCGGCATTAGTTGGTGCAATGGGCTGCTATCATCGTCGTCAATGCTCTGCCAGTAGATTTGAAAAAGTGCTCCATGCTAAAGTGGCATCCAACTCTGCTGCCTTGCCTACATTCATTTGCGTTCGTGTTAAGTGCAGTTGTGCCTTTATCTGGCCTGGCAAGGTCACGGTGTGTTTCCAAATCGATGCACCCGATCAGCCAATCAGTGGGCCGGCCAGCCCCACAGTCGTAGAAGCAGTAGTAGCTGGAAGAAGGTTTCATACCATTTATCCATTCTACTTTCGTTCATGTGCTGGTGGAGAAGGAATAGACGGTAGAGAAGAACAAAAACTGGAAGAACAAGAAGAAGAAGAAGAAACAGAATGTCCAACACACCATTCGGTGCACCCCAGATCGTTCAACCTCCTGCCACCTCCGTATCCACTATCACCACAACCACAACGACACCGGGAGGGGCTCAAACTACCAATGCAAACGCCACAAACGCTGGAAAGAAAACAAATGCAAAAGAGCCTGGAACCCCGCTGAAACCGGTATGCCTGCCTGCTGGAAGATATGAGTTCCGAGATAATGGAATTTACATCGGTGAGTGGTTGGACGAAAAGGCTGTGGGACTGGGTCTCATAACAAAGGACAAATCACAGGGCGAATACACGGGTCTGTGGGACGCGGGATCGGAAAAATCGGGTGTTTTCCTTTGGCCCAACGCCCCAGGAGCAATGTATGAGGGGGAGTGGGCAATGAATCGACGCAATGGATTTGGCGTATTCAATCGAGAGGATTGGGTGATAATGGGCAAGTTCGAGGACGACTTCATCACCATGGGAGTTAAAGGAAAGGACAACGCACCAGGCAAATTCGAGGGCAGATTCGAGAATGGATTTCCGGCCTTTGGTGTCGAGACCTATGGAGATAAAGGTGGGTAATGGACTGAACGTCAGTTATACGCCTTTTAAATTAGTAAACGAATCAATTATTTAGTTTTCTGCTAAAAATTTATAGCTTAGTGGATAAACCTTTTGACAAAAGAGTCGATGATACGGTAACGTTTGTCTTTAAAAAGCATTGTTTTCTGGGAAAATGTAAACTTATTTTAGGAACATGAAGCAACGCTTATAAGCAGCCATACAATCTTGTCTTATCATTTTTAATAGATGAATTAAGGGTTAATTAATGAGACGTTTATACATTCTTCAATAAGGAGTTAGCAACTGCTATGTTAGACTATTTCGCCGTCGTGTTTGAGTGTCTGCTATTGTTTTGCTAAAATAATGCTCTTAGATGCTCACGATTTTGCAAGTTTGGTGCATTAATAGTCATGACGATTCTCTATAATTTATTGTTGGCTGCTAAATAGGTTTGTTATTTATCCACTTTATACATCTATTACTTCAAAAATTTGACTATAAGATTTGGAAATGTGACGCTTGAAATCACTTAAACAGCCGCTACCATAGTGACGGCCGGAATGCTTGCGCCTACGTCGAACAGTCGTGTCGGAATTCGATGAGCAGTTACTGCACTTAGTGCGGGACGAGTGCATGCACTAAAGTTAGAGCCCATTAAAGCCTTTGTTTAAGTCTCCGTGGTTTTTGACGTACAATGGTGCATTTGCAGAGATTTTAGGTAGTTTTTATAGTTAATGCGAATTGAATCTTCCATATCTGAACATTCATGTTTAAGTTACAAAGCATCGGGTTTGGCCTTTTCCCAAGCCGGCCATCTGAACTTACCAGGGCAGATCTAAAGGCTCTACTTTACTTTTGTACAGCGCTACAATCTCTCAGTTCCATTTTCTCCGCTTGAGTTCTAGTAATACTCCTCCCTCGAAATTTTGCTGCTTAATTAGTTTCTCGCATTTCTAAATTTTTAGGTGCATTATGCACTTGTCGGATTTAAAAATAGGTAACTGCAAAACTATTAGGTGGACAAAATGTTAAAATCTGGAAACATCGCGTATACTGTTACCGTAACAATAACTCGGGAGGTCGTCTGGGCGCATTAAATACCGGAATGTGAGTTGGACCAAAGTGGTTTTTTATCGTTTAAGATTATAACTAATGTTGATGTAGTCCCTTTAAGTTGTGATTTAATTACTAAGAAGGCCATTATTTTGAGGAGGAGAGTTAAAAGTAGGGAATAATGCGACTAACCATCCTGTAACATGGTTGGCGTATAGTTTTTAACAAGTCATATCCCAAGAGTACCATTAAAAAGCCTCCAACCACACAAAATGCACAGTGCGGAATGCTTCAATATTTGATGTGGAGTAGAACAGATGATTAAAATTTTCAAATCTTCTCCTGGGGGATCAAAAAGTGCAAATGTGAGGTAGCTAGAACAAGATGTTCGTTTACTAAATCGTCAGTTGCAAGTAAAGATCTCTGATTATGCCACGATCACTAATAAGATGGGTAGCAGTTTGACTTCTTTTGAATGAGTATCAAGAAGAGTTGCCGAGAAAGCAGATCCAATTCCCCGGAAACGACGCATTCCATAAACGCGCCTGCTAACGGTGCCTGAATGATGCAAGCTTCGAGTGCTTTATTTGGAAGTGAACATAAGCCAAGGAAAAATGTGAGCATCTGATGACGAACTGATATATGAAAAATTACATCTTATCTCAATCTCAATAAATCGTCCAACCGGTCAACAACCCAAATCTTTGTAGCCGAGAGCATCGCAGTCGCATGTGCTGATTCCGTCAGACCTTCTGATTGGTCTAATCGGTCACTTTTACGTCAGAAGTAATTATAGTTAGTGCGGTAAATAGCGATGTCCGGTGCATTACTTCGTCTCCAGATACCTCAAAAGGCAGGTTAAGTGTGTTAATAGGAAGGGAATTTGGAGAGAAAATTGGAAACCTAGGAAATTGTTGGATCATTGTTTAATTGACTAGGTTGCCACTAAGAACATTCTACCCCGTTAGTTAACAACGCTGTCGTTACTCGAGCCGGGTTTTGTCTTCTTGTGGCGTAATTTATCTTTGTCCAAATAAAGCTAGCAATAGAACAATACCTCGACTCGTTTACAAAATATTGGCTAGACGTGGCATTCTTGCCTGATTTTTGCCGCGCTGGCCAATGAAATTGGAGAAAGTCCAATTCTTGGGCTTTGATTGGTTGAGGCGAACTTAGGGTTGGATGAAAACTTTAGTATCTCTTGATAAACTTGTATGAAGGGCAATGAAGTGTATGCTAAGTAAAACTTGATAACCTCATTTGTTTTATTTTTTGTAATATGTACTCGACAAAGGCCTGATTCGATGTATTCCTTTACCTTCAGGAGAAAATGAGCTGATAAAATGTACATTTTAAGTTTACAATCATGGCGTTGATCTAATCTTCAATAACTGAAGCATTCTCAGAATTGAGCGGCCTATTTAAAAAGCGTTTATTCTTTAGGCCTCCTCCTTCCTCATTTTGCTTTCGCATATCACAACAGATTGGTTTAAGATTTTACTGAAGCAATGTCAGAGCTCGAATAAAGGTGGCTTCAAGTTTCGTGGTGTATCACGCAGACCAAAAAAGATGTATTTTTTTGAGAATGGAGTTTATTGAGAAAGAAAAAACTACCTTCATTGAGTTTTATCCTTTCACTGTGTGGAGAGTCAACATTTTGCAATCAGTACGCCCAATTGTTGCAAGCAATGGCTTGAAAAGTTAATTAGGGTTGAAAAACGCGCTACATCATCACAGAGCAAGCGTTTTTTCCTCCATCAGGCTTCCCAAGTGTAGCGTCTGCCATGAGGTACACCGGTAGTGTATGCGGCCAATGCGATCGCGGTGTGGGCAAACAATGAAACACGTATACTGTCCTATTTTCGCACGATCTTGCTGAAAATCGCCTTATGGACTATCGAATCGCTTTGGTCAAGAGGTACCGAGAGCTTCGCACTTGATTCATTAATCCGTAAAATTTAAGCGACGTAACAAAAAACTTTTCCATTGAAGGAGTCTGAATCCTAACCAAGTTAGGTTACGGCTGTACAAAGGATAAAATTCAAAGGAAATGGTCAAATGTCATGGCTATAGTGTGGCGTTCCAAGACTTTCCATAAGGTGAAAGAAGGCAGTAGGTGAGGCTGGGTACGTGCATTCCAAAGAGAACAGAGCAAATGGGTCTGAGCACGGCTCGAAGGCCAAGGGCTAGACAAATGCAGAAGCGACCACCAAACTTCAGGTATCCACATAAACAAAGCATTACAAGCATCGCTCACATGGGCTGCTTGGCGCTAGTATAAACATTGGTGTTTTGCCTTTTGACGGTGGTTGTCGGATCTAAGAAGACAGTTTTGCTTGCATTCCTTGTGTTATAAATATTCATATTTTTCTCAAGTGCTACTTATTACGATTTAACAGTAGTATGTTAAAATACACGCTGCAAGAAAAGGGAGTTGGGCTCATTGACTGACTTGGACTTAAACGTCAAATTTTTGACTTTTGTAATTCTTAGGGAACATATGTAACCCTTTTTGGGTTTGCTAGTATTGATACGAAAGAGAAATGCGTAGTTTGTACATGTGCAAGTTCAGTTGAAAAGTCTAAACAGCAATTTTTAGAAAAAATCCAACGCATCTTTCTGTGATATTCCAACCTTCCCCATGTAGGGACTTATTGCGGCGAGTACAAGAACGGCATTCGTGAGGGTCTGGGTGTGCGTCGCTCCATAACTTATGGCGAGGTTCTGGAGCTCTATCCCGAGATCAAGAAGGCCTCCAACTCCAGCAAATTGGAAGACCTTCGTAAACGTGGCAAATTACCCTCTCCATTGAACATTAATTTGGATCGTCGCATGTCCCTCGATCAGGGCTCCATCGATGTACCCTGTGATGTGGTTTGGAGCGGTGAGAATACTACAGACGGCGTCGACGGAACAGTGGATGGTGAAGAGTACGATCCAGAGCCCTATACGGCTCCTCGAGATACCACAAGCTACTTGGAATGTACAATGGGACATCGACATCACAATGTCACATATAGATTGATGGTAGCACAGCGATGTGGATTCATGTTGTCATCGAAACGCTCCGAGCTGTTTATAAAACGCTTGAACAAGTTGAAGCATCCCCGAATTAATCCCTTCGGCTGTACAACACCCGAAGCAACAGAACGAAAACGAACCCAATCGCTGTCAATGCTGTTTACATATCCTGAGGAGACAATGCCAACCCTGCCAACGAGCTATGTTAGGCAGATCAAGGACATGTATACGTCCTCCAATTCTTTGCCTAAGATTGTTCCTGCGGAAAGTGATACGGTAGGTGATGAAACGAGTATTTACCTTTCTTTAGCTGGAGCTAGATCTCATAGCCGATGACACCGTGGAAGTGTATTCAGGTGAATGGTTCTCCGACGCTCGTCATGGGTTTGGTGTCTGTGAGCGTACTGATGGACTGGCCTACTATGGTCAGTGGTTTAAGAATCAGCGTCATGGCTTCGGTCATACTCGATTTCCTGATGGCACTTTTGAACAGGGCAAGTACCACAACGGGAAGTTGGTGTACTTGGCCCTGCCAGCAGGCAATAAGCCTCACATGGTGCTCTACAATCGACATGTCATGCAAGAAGTTCAAAAAACGATGCAGAGGGCAATGCTAGCTGGCGAACAGGCGCAAAAGAAGGCAATTGAGGCGAGGGAACAGTGAGTTTACTGCCATCTTTCATCCATAGGTTGGAAGTTATGGGTAAGCTGGTAACAATGACTTCAGCAGGGCACGTTTCAGATGTTTTGCTACTAATTGTGGGGTTTTAAGTAGCATGTTTTGTCAACTAAGCAGTGTTTCCGTTGTTCGTCCGTGTGCAGAGTCAGTATGAAGGTGCTGGACTACATCGAGAAGGCCAAAGCTGCTGCCAACTGCGCTCGCGAGTACTCTTTGGAAGCGCGGGAACTGGTGCGAGAGATGTATCCCGACTTCGAGCAACCGGGTAGGTTATCTTAAAGAAGACGTAAAGCAAAAAAAAGAGAACATTTGGACCTTGAAATCAAAGGCTATGACACTAACAATGATTGGCTGACGGTGTTTAGAGAATTTTACTTAACTTTCAATGTGCTCGATCGACAGTCGCTGCTTGTAGACCATAGTGAAACACCTTCCGCAAGTGCACATGATAAAGACGACTTCAAACCTCCACCAGCCCTCACTCTCTAGTTAGGCATCCACCTGTGTACGCACTTGCCAGACCTCTACTTGCTCAATCGTACCTACCGAGCTTTCAACGCGTTTGTTTCAGCGAATTTCACAAACTTGATCGTGCGATAATCATTTGTTCAATGCGCCTGCGACTTGCGAACACCTTTGCCTCAGGAATGATGAGGAATTGTTCATGAGGTGCCGATTATGCTGTCCCTATTAGAGGCAATTTAGCTTTCCCTCCATAATTTCCCATTAATTGGTGAATTTTTCCGAAATTTCTCTCGATTTTAATGCGTGATTTGTTTGTCCTGTTTTCTGACAGGTATTAAGTACCTCGAGGACATAGTTCGAATGATGCGAGTCACACGGCAGGGCAGTCCCACCTTCGAAGCAGCCCTACAGTCAGCCAAAGACGTTGTAGCAGGAATCGTTCGCGGTTTGACACGAGGAGGAGGGGAAGACGATGAGGAAGAGGAGGCAGCAAATCAACCCGAAGAGGATTTGACTCTACCACCTAAATTTTCATCGCAACTTCGAGAACTGCAGGAGAAAAAGTTGCTCATGTCGAGAGCAGGTTCAGTGCGAGCTCAGAGACGTGCTAGAGCCGTCAAATTGGCTGAAGAGTTGAGACGCAGAGAGGTGAGTAGTTGGGCGTCTTTGATGTGGGCATCAACCCATAAAGGTAAGAGCAGAAGATCACAGCAGCTGCAAAAAGACAATGTTTTTAAACCTCTTTCTTCAAATAGCCTCATAGATGGGGTGATTTGAAGATAAAAACAAGGATTTTTGATTGTCCTTCCTTCCAGCGTCTCCTAATGGGTGAGGACCCCAAATCCGTGATGGCAGCTACCAATGCAGAAGCACAGCGTCAACAGCTACAAGCTCAGCAACAGGCGGACGCCGCAAAAAGGCGCGCCGCCACTGCCATGGCCAGTGTAGCCGCTGTACAACAGTCAACGTCAGAAGCGGAACGAAGGATTGCAGCGGAACGTGGCATTAGTGCTGAGCGGGCAGACAGATGGACAACAGAAATGTTGCCTACATCGGAACGGAGACAACAGAAGGCGCCACTGAATGCCAGCGGAAAGGCGGACACAGCACCCGGGGCATTTCTGCATGTTCCAGGTGTAAAACGGAATTATACAACGAGACGAAGGAATGAAGCCTCCGGTCTGGATGAACCTGATGGATCGTATGTTGAGATTCCTGACAGTAAGTGACGTTATGCCGCCAAATTATTTCTCTCTCTGCTTAAATGTCCAATCATTAATCGACTTGTCGACTTGTCGAACAAGAGGACGAGTCAAAAGTTTTAGTTAGGAGTTTTGCACCCTTCGTCATCTCGTCGAAAAATTATCTTTGCACCTTTATAACACTTACCTCGTTCTCTAAGTCACTTTGCATTGGATAAGAGTTTTCTCACTTTTCCTCTTCATCATTCTCTCTCGTTTCATTTTGACTTGTGTTGTCGCTAGTGAATGAATTGGAGCATCAATACGAAATTCCCGCCTGTCCACTTACAAAACTGCTAGCCAATCCAACGTTGTTTAGCAACCACTTTGACTACTACACCACCTTGCCTCCACCCATTGCTGTAACAGCCACAGCAACTACTGGACTGCATCAGGCACGTCTCACACGGCCCGAAGTACTGGTTCAACCGGAGAAGATCATGTCCGCGTCCATGGAATATGCGTCTGTGTCAAAAGAGGCCGCCTCACCAGCAGATAGTGATACCTTCGGATTCCTCTCGAAACTCGCCTTCTGGTCCTGGGGCAAAAATGAGGTTGGTCTTAAACATTTAATTTTTATCTCTAAAATCTGAACTTTGGTACTGCATTTTGTCCCCTACATCGATATCTTTAAATTTTCTATCCTTTTGCTTAAAAAGGTTAATCATGCAGGTGTCAGATGTGAGTGACAGGATTTATGAGACCGTAATAAATTAGGGTTTGTCTCCTTGTGGTTCCTTGAGCTAAAGCCCAAACTATTAGTTTAGTCTCATTACCACAGTTCTGACTTGTACAGGAAAATTTGAAAGACCGCGAAGGCGTGACCCCTGGCCCCTCTGAGAACGGTTTCCCTTCCACATCGACCTCCATAACCTCCTTCAGTCAGATGGTCCCCGAATCACAGGGAAGTGGCGCAGGTGCCGTGCAATTAATGTCCCGGGGACTGGTGGATAATCCGCAGAATCAACTCATTCCCACCACCGATAGCAGTCATTCGCTTCAACAGGTCACCGATATTTTCGTAAGTACAAAGGAATTGCTATTTATGTTTATTTAGTAAAACGTATATTTTCGAAATTGCAAGAGTCAGTAGTTGCATGTAATTTTTTTAAAAAGGAGCAAGTGGAAACAGCTGGCAGCAAAAGTTATTTTTCAATTTGATGCGTATGTTTATGCCATGAGTTTCATATCGGTCTCAAGATACCAGTAGTTGTTTTTTACAAAAAAGCAACGTGGACTGTGGACATTACTTGGTCCACACGATATCTCCAGTTGGCTATGACATTTTTCACTCTTGTTGGTTACACAGCTGTACCATATCAATTGCTGAGGTGTGAAGATTACGGGACAAAGCAGACACATTCAGTTGCATTGCATGTGCAAAGTGACACAATCTGTAATTCACACAGTGTCCACAGCAAGACCACGTGTTGGCTGCCATTGATGGCATTTTCTGGTCCCTTCTCCTATTCTCGCCGTTGAGGTTGCATGTACCGTAAGGGGTGTAGCTTTTAATTTTTCATCGTTTTCTTATCTTCTCTTTAGGATTGGTTTCGCTCCAACCTTTCGCTAATCGCTATCATCTGTTTCAACTTTTTCCTTCTCCACGTCTTCTTCGCACACATGAGCCAAAGCGAAGAAAATGGCGCCTAAAGTGTCACAGATTTCTGTGACTATCAATCGGAGCTTTCACCTTCTTCACTCTCCCCATGTCGCCTTAACACAGGCCTTTTGTTCACCTATATTGCCCTGACCCTTCAGAAGAAAACAGAGTTATGCAAATTGCCTATACAGATCTGGTTTTGATTCGATGTGGTTTTTGATTCGTAAAAATTAGGAGTTCTGGTGAGCAGAAGTAATGCTTTTGCCTCTCGTAACACATTTGCACCAAATGTAGGGGAGTTCTGCCTTTTAGTGACGAACTAGTGCGCCGTACTGCGAACATTGATGCCAGGAAAACGTTTATTCTTTAAAATGGAAAACAACAGATCGGAAGGTGCTGGAACCGATGTTAAAACCGAAATCCTCCAATTATACGCATGACTGGAGGTGGTTTGAAGGTGCTTGAGTGCACGAACCATCTATTCGACTGCGTAGACCTCACAAAAGCCGTCTTAAGTGAGCACAAACAAATTAACTCAAATAGCCACCAATGGCACTTGAGTCACGTCTCCTGGCAACGCGCCATGGCTTGTCAGGGGCGCCAAGTGAAGCAGCCGCTGCATCGCATTCAAACATCGAAGGGTACTAAAACAATGAAGACCATCACATCACTCGTAAAGCATGCCCCTGACGGCATTTAGCATCGGTAAGGTAACACTTCAGTGTTAGCAGACCATCTGCCAAATTCTGATTGAATGTGTGCTGACGAGCCAAGTACACTTCGCTTGGTCCACACGCAGCTGAATTTCGTGTTTGGGCAGGGGATAGCTGCGTTTGAGAGTGAATGCTTGGTAAGTAAGAGAGGTGAGAGGTGAAATACTTCCAGTCGTCTGGACGTTGCAGTTGAGGCCGTAATATGTACAATGACCTCAAGAATGGGATGAGGAGATTTAGGGAGAGCACAAACGGAGCGTAACAATACCTTGCATTGATAAGAGGAACAGTCACAAAGGTAAGCTAACCACATTGCTTAGCACGAGATGTTGCCAATGCCATTACTGGTACCGTCAGACGATTGAAGTGAAGGAAGGCGAGGAAAGGAGTCCCCTAAATTGGAGCGAACTGCTTCAAGGGAGGGGGTGCTGAAACCCTCACATAAAGGGTAAATCGTCATTCTGATTAGTCACTTTCACAAATCTGAGTGTAATTGGAAATTGTTCATACAACTTAATCCTCCTCCGCCTCCCCCTCAAAACATGCAAGAGGCTATACGATGGAAGAATTCGTCAAAAAATCATTTCTCCTATCTGAGGCCCTAGGAATGGTGAGCTGTGGACTCGTGTGAGCGTGGATGAGGTGCAGATCAACTTTCATTAATTTGATTACCCACGAGCTTGCAAGGCATAGTGCCACATCCAATGGCTCTCCGCGGCGCATTGACCAATAGAGAGCAGCCAATGGCGGAGCAAACTCTGAAGTGTCTCGAGACTTTTCAAAGGAGCAATGTAATTTCGGGAGTTGAAGTCTGCTCCACTGGAACGGTATCTTGGCGCATGCATGGTCCGAACGGTGGTTGCAAACTCAGTTTATCAGTTTTGACGTCCAACGTAGACTCCTTTTACCAGCCACTAAGAGTTGCTCTGACTACCTGCCTCGTTGGAGTGCTCCTAACATCTGGCTACTCAGGGCGCCAAAGCAGTCTGCGGTCATTAATGGCATCTCATCACCTACAAGTGCTTCTTAAGCCATGCGGTTGAATAGATGGGCAGTTGATTTTGTCGTGCGATGAAGGACTGCTTTTCGTAGGTCCAAAAGCTGTGAACTAATAGTAATTTCGATAAAAAAACTTGTACGACTTGCTCCAGAGCGGCGGATTTAACGTCCGGCTTCTCCTGCTGCTCAAAAACACTTCTTTTCCGCTATAAAAGTTAGCATGGCAGTCGGCTTCGGAATTACCTCCATCGTGTTCCAAAAAAGCTACGAAGGTAAAGCTCGATGCGTCAGGCATTTTCAGCCATTGGGATAAAAGGTCAAGAGCAGGGGGATGGACAATAACCCAAATAGGGGACCCAGGCTACCAACATGCCTTAACGATGCTGACAGCTGCAATCTAGTATGATTCTCAAAATGCAGCTTTTATGTCTGTTCCACTGATGACTGAGTGAAGGCTGCCTTTAAAGCATTCTAAAGGTTTATTTTGAATTTTGGCGTTAGTGAAAGAATCTGCTTCCTTACAAAACATGCAAATCACTGATTGGGTGGTGACTGTGAGGCTCTAATGCAGGATTTTGGTAGTCGGTGTTAAGAATTTGATTTGAGCAAGTGATAGACGGGTTCATCTTCGGTATGGACGCTTTAGCCTTCACTTTGCAGTACGGCCTTTCGCCCTCCTTAAGAACCTTTAAGCTCGTTACTCACAATTCAGTAAGTAGTATCTCCTTCGCTCAAAAAAGTTAGACTACAGTAAATTTCGATGCTTCTCCAATCAGCGCATAAAGCAGACGTCACTTTGGACCTCCTTTGCTGTATTTTAAGAGATGAAAAAGCATTTGTACCTTCCGGAATTCCTGAACTTTTGCCTTTTGCCTTTTTCATCGACCGTCCACACAATGGCCTCCTCGTCTACTGGAAAGGTAGATGCTTGGGGACAAATACCTGCAAAAATGAACGAGCTACACCTCTAAAGGGGAGGAAAATGGTGCATAACTATGTCAATGGGAAGCTGTCACAGAGCTGATTGGCCTTATCGTCCGTGACAGGGAAGAAGTCCTTTCCATGGTCAAAGAAAATGCAATTATTTATGGCTCTTTAATTTGAGGGTAGGAGTTGGCAAAACAGTGTCAATGTTGCCCTTCCCATGGGCTGTAGCACAGAGGTTCAGGCAACTATTACGGTCGGTGTTAGTTGCGTAGAGATGCGGACAATGTCTTTCTCCTCATGTTGGCATTTGAGTGGAGTTTAGGACTAAACGCTAAACGAGGCGTTGCGGCACCCATTTTCAGCTTAAGAGACTAAACGCGTCCTACCAGAAATATGGTAGAAGAGTTAAGGAGTGTACAAGATCAGGATGGGAGGGTCACTGATGCATTGTGTGTATGGAACATTTCGGGATGGAGGGGAGTGCCTTTTTTGCATGGAAAAGGTTTACGCAAAAGTGGACTGCACCAACTAATATGCCGCCTCCCCAAACCTTCTTCTTCCATATAAGCAGGGGAGGAAGAACTTAATAGCCCTCGCTTAGCCCTCATCGCGGCACCAGTCTTCCGACAAATAATTTGTCCTCATCCCGTCCCCTTCCATTGTCAGTACTCACGGCCATAAGGATGATGAGGGATCTTATGTCTTGAGCAAACAACTTTTCCTGTTTTCTTTGCAATAAAACGAACAAGATTTTTGTAGGCGGAAGACGTAAACAAGCTTCTCAACCGTTTCGAAAGATGACTGCCAAAGTTCTGCCCTTTATAAATGCGCCAAATCTTTGGGTGGTTCTCCCAGTTGGTCCAGTTCTAAACTTACCCTTTGCTGAGAAGGTCCAGAATCACCTTCTGCATGGTTTGGAATCACCCATGGTTGAGACAACGCCATTTTGCCAAAAATGTCAGTTTATGAGGATGACAAGATGTGCTCCTCGAAGTTCCCTGAGGACGCGTAAACTCTGTGCCACTAGCACCAAATAAAAGGCCTCAAAAGCTCTTCTTCAACGCAATCTTGTTTGCTGCAGGTGAGTGTTCTTGTCTGCAGGACTGCTAGTCCTTGATTGGCAAGAGAGAAAGCCTACCCCTTAAAGGAGCCTCTCCTAGCATGTTAGGCTGTGGCAGCGAGTTCAGATTGTGCTCGCTGCTATGAAAGCTGAATTTGCAGTTAAAAACAGACGCCCTTACTCATTAACAAGTGACATGCGGTGTGAGAATGCTCTGTGCCTTTTCTTTTAGATGATTTCTGGCTCATTTAATGTCCACCAGTCAATCGGAGGGGGAAGTAAAGGAGTGCACGCCTTTTTTAAGCAAGGCAAGACCAGACCGCCATCCTGGAGTTGCCGACACCTTCAGCAGCACGTGTGGACAACGCTAAAATTGTCCAAAATGGGTGCTTAAATATGCAGATTAACGAGCTTTTGGGTGTAACCTCACCTTAACGGTGTTTCGTGCCCTACAATTATTGCCGTTATGTGAAGAAGGCGTCCTCTAATTATTTTTCCCTCGCAGATGCAGGAATAACAGAGGCTGGATGCGTTCAAGGTGCTGCTTTCCCAAGTACTCCGAAGTCTACAAATTCTGATCCACTGCTACGCACTCTGAACAGTAAAGTGAAGTCAGACACATAAAACGAGAAGGAAGGAAAGGCGGACCTGTCCGTGGCAATTTCAGAGGGCGTACTTTTCTTGCGCCCCTGACATATACAAAGAATCTCCCGAAAATGGGCAAGAAATGCAAGAAGAGGATAACAAAGGATCAGAATGAGGTGAACGATGCATTCCTTATGCATAATTTTCCACTTAGCCAGGATTTGCATACATCCTCGCCCAGACAGATGGTGCATAAAAGTAGGAACATGAAGGAATTGGTGCCTGTTAAGGTCTAACCTGCACATGCTTTTCAATCCACAGAAAGTTTGCCAACCCTATTGACGGTATGGCATTCTGATTGTGCTATTTCTGTCAGCACCCTCCAGTGGAACCGCGGATTCCAACTTGGTGAAGGCGATTTGCAGGCCGCACCACCACCAACCAGGCCACAACCGGCAATCACAGTAAAAGCCACTTCCACGAAACATAGAACAAGCACAAATCGTAAGATTTTTTTTAAAAATATGCTTTAAAAAGGCCATTTGGAGACCGACACCGCATCACCCCTCCCACCATTTTTCAGCCAAGACTGGTAGCACCCACACCATCGCAAGGATCCCTCCTGGACATAAATTATTCCCTCCAAACAGTTAAATTGACTTGGAGTTGGGACTGCGGCTAGGGCACATAAAATCGTGTTTTTTGTTCACCCACTCTCCCCTCTCTGATTGGCTGGAGGAGGAGCTAATCAGGTTGAACTATGAACGATGCCTTTTGCATGCGTGCGCCTTGTTTGTGTCATTCGTTGTCGTTACAGCTGAAGACATTAATTCACACAGTGGAAGAAGCAAAGTACGTTCCTCTTCAATCATACAGTTCTTCTTTATGGTGTCTTATAAGGTTTAAAGTTGCACGCTGTTCAATGCCTAACTCTCTCTCCAAGTCACTCTCCATAGAACTTTTGAATTTGAGGTTCTCATAAAAGTTTTCATATTATCGTATGCATTGTTTTGCTAAGGAGCCATTCACTGATGGCTTTTTTACTGACTAATAATTAACTCCAATGGAAGTAGAGTCTAGAAGATGTTCTTTGCCTCAAGGTTAGAGGTAAGCGTAACCGCTAGAGGACTCAACTCGGTACTGAGGGTGCGCTAGAGTCATTAAGCAGTTTCAACTTCCGTCATGGGTACTAAATAACTACTATTACACTTGATTTTTAATTTCTTCAACTTACTCAGAGTGTAATTTCCTTTTCCTTTTTAAAGTCGTCGATAGAGAGTTCGAACTGGAGGATTTTGCATGTTATCATTCGATCTTAACCTTAAGTTTCCAGTTGAGTCACCCAATTTATTTTCTCTGATTTGGTGAGGACAAAGAATGCTTTTTGATTCAGTGGTTTGTCTGAGTTTGTCGATTTTTCCCCATTCCTCCCCACTCTCTTCACACACTCATCATTTTCATTCATTTCAGCGCAGGCAAAAGTACCATCACCTAATTTTTATTGGCTAACCATCGCTGTGAGCTCATTGGTTGAGTAATCTGATTGACTGAGGCGGGAAATTGGGGCTGAGTGTGCGCTGTGTTGATTGCAATGTTTATCGGTTGCGTGAAAAGGTGGAGGGAAGGTGTGAAGTGGGTAACAAACTTAGCACTATCATTGGAAAAGAGACTGTAAATAGACTACAAATTAATAATCATCGCAATGTCGACAAGATGTGCGCCTGAAAAGAGGAAAATATTCCAGTCTTTGTCTATTTCTTCCTCTTCTTCGCTACGTCTGGGTGCAGCGGAAGGCAGATAAAAATTAAGAAATTTTGGTTATGGTTGAGTCACTAAAGCAGTTTAAAAGCTAATAGAATGAAGTAGGGTGGCAGAGCTGGTTTTACGCAGTCTTTTTTTCTCGTTTTTTATTGCCCAATCACCTTTAGACAATGGGTACGTGAAATCTTATTTCTATGCTGGATTGAGGTTTCATTTTTGATGTTTCGTCGCATTAAGTGCGCAACATTTCGGAACCCACTGTCCTCTTTGGACACTGAAATAAAAGCATTTATTTAGGCAGTAAAGTATCGAAATTCGTACTTTAGTTTAGGCTCATAAAAAGGAGATTTGAGATCTTACTGTGTATTTTCGTGTCAAGAAATAAATTGCTCTAGGTTGGGTCTACGCGGTAAGGTAAAATGGCAGCAACAAGCTTCTCTGTGGAGAATAGAGAAGAAGCGAACACTGCAAATAGGTGATAACTAAACAAAACCAGTAATGAGACGATGAATGAGTGTAGATATGGTTTGAAGGCTGCCTCAGTTGATGCATGTTGAAACCAGTCCTTTGCACAACGGGTGGCAGATGGGCGTCACAGGCGGAAGGACTGTCAACGGAGGTGGCTACGTGGTGTTCTGAGTCAGATGTACCTCCACTAGCACATCTGCTTCGGGAATCCAATCAGAAGGAGGAAGGGTGAGTGTCCACCACCACAGACCAACTGGATGTTTCGTAATGCTTGTGCGACGCGCATCGACGCCCTACTTGTACTTGTTTTGCGGGGCACAACGAACCAACATTCCTTTTTTCAAATTATGACTTGTACCGACACCAAAGGACTTCCACCCCTTTCAGCAACCCCAATGCATTGGTCAACAATGAAAAAATGTAAGAATGATGCGTGTTAGGTTGTATGCACATCCAAGTGGGAGAATTTGGACCCACGAACCTGTAAGGGGCCAAGTGCACCAAGTGTGCCTGACACATGGAAGCGTCAAAACATTCCTGTGCTGACCTCTCTCATCTTCCAGATATTTGGGTATCCTTTAGTTAAGAGAGGTTTATCGTCCATAAAACATACTGAGTGATGGCATTTGCTAATCTGGTCCGAGGTGAATCCTAGCCCTCACACATCGCGCCACATATCGTCAGCAGGAATGATATTGTCATGAAATGTTTATAGCTTAAGGAGGAACAGCCTATACTTTTGTCATTTCCAAAAGTAAGGCCTAGAAATACATTTAAAAATCTCTTTTAAGCAAAACGTCCAAAGAATTTAAGCCAAAATAAACTTCCTGATCTACTGAAAAGCATTTTCAGTAGCATAGTTGGTGGGTTGGCAAGATTTCCGCATTTTTAAAAATCCACTTATCTTTTTGGAGACGCATAGTTCTACTTGACAAACTAAACTTGGGAACGCAAATAATTTCTTGTTGTGCCAAAATGACCTTGATGGTTCTCTGGAAGAAAGAATTTTTCCTTGTGAAAAAAAGGAAGAAAAATACGACAGTCAGCGATGATTCCACGTACTTTCTTCTCTTTTCGTCCAACGTCTAAGTGATTCGACTTTACCTAGGCTTACATACCACACAAAGGGTTGCATCCACGCTCCACAGTTGAAGTGGCAATCAGTTTGGTTCGGCGCATTTTTCTCCTCATGAGATCGTAAGTCCGTCACTTAACATTTCGCCTTCTCTCATGTGCCAGCCACAATGCAACGTTCCAGAGCATAAAAAATTTTAAAAGTGGGAAGGAAAATAAAGATTTAGAAGGAAAGCACAGCTTGGTGACTTTGCACTTCAACAGGCCTGGTCAGCTAGCCAAAGACGATGGGCAAGGAGAAGGAAGGGAAGAGGAGGAGCAGGAGCAGGAAGAGTGTTGTTACACCAAAGACGTTTCTACCGAGCTTCTCTTAGGGTCAACCGCTGCTTGTAGGGCCAAAAGGGTATTGATGGAAAATTAACACAGAATTTCCTCTCCTCCAATTATTTCATACTTTTACTCTTAGTTTTGGTCAACGAAGTCCACGTAGAGTTTTGACCCTAAAGTCGGGTTAATTGTCTTGTCAACAGTGGTTTTGCCATGGCTTTGGACTTGAAAGGTGGAGGAGCAGAAACCCTCCCTCTTCTCAACTAGGGAATCGCTACTCAGTCACAAAGGCGTGCAGAGGATGGGAGCGCCCAAGTAAGGGAAAGGCTTTCGGCCTTCACCATGAATTGACGACAAGGTGAGGGAATGGAGACCTTTGACGCCAATTAGAGGATATTTGGGCGAGGTCGAATCACGAATGTGACCTTTCACAGTCATTTCATCTTCTTCTTAAGAGTGCATAAAAGGCGCTTGAAATTTTGGGAACTTTTCTTTCTTTTTCGCTCTGCAGGATGCGTCCAATGGCGGCAGAGGGAATAACCAAAGGCATTCTTTTTGAAGGACTTTTTCACTCTAGTGGAGATTAAAACATATTCTCCCCCACTTCCTCCATCTGAAAGAGGTGAAAGGGTGTTTACATTGTTGTAATTGCTACATGGCCCTCACTTTGGCGGTGGTCTTGCACTCCCTAGCCCTGACTAGGCAAGTTAGACTTTGTCACACGTGGATAGGACCAACGTTAGCACAGAATGATGGGGAGAGAGGCAGAGAAAAGGCGGAGGAGGTGGCCGCTCAAATCTGCATTCAAACATTGCTGCGATACTATTGCAGCAATAAGGTGGTTCCGGTGCTTTGCAGTAGCTTTGTTTCCTCTTGACACTTTTATGTACGCTCGGCTTGCTTGAACCAACTTTGAGCATCAAATCATGTCGGCGCCACTTGACAACACCTTCTCACCTCCTCCAGTTGCGACCCAATTCCCTCCTGCAATTCTTCTGCGTTCAACCCCTATGAAAATCAACTTAATTTATTTTCTTCTCACCTTTCATAAATTAAATGGAATAAAGAAAAGGAAAACAGTTATTTACGGCTCATCATGGACCTTTCAGCAGAAACTTGAAGAATTTATTCGCAAAAGGGGTTGCTCCTCTTCCTTTCCATCAAGTCATTTTACTTCCACATCACTTAATTTCGGTCTTCCCACCTAAGATCGAGCCTTCTCCTCTGTGCCCTTAATGACTCACTTACAACTCTCCAACCTCCGGACGGGTACACGATTTTGTGCAGCCAACTTCCACGACCTCACAACGGACATGTGGTTGTGATGTCACGCGGGGTCAGACAATCCGATGTGACGGTTAAAATGCGATAAAATATCTTCATTGCAGAACCAAAATGAATGTCACTACCGCCACGGAGGACTATCGAGCTCTGGCCCGCACGTGTATGAGCGAGCACTATTGGCCCTACTACGTGGCCTCCATAGTGGGTGTCTTCTTCGGTGGTCTGCTGTGGATTTTGGCGTATCGAGCGTTGGTGCGCAGTATCGCCTGGTTCATAAAACGCCGACGCATCGCTCAATTTGCTCACTGTGATTGGAATGCTGGCGCCTGCACTGGAGGCGGTGGTGGTGGATCGAGCACCTTCCTTGACGTTCCCACAAGCGCTTCCCAACTCTCGGGGCTGGACCAATGGGACCGACGCAGCAACCGCTATAGTAACCGGGATCGAATGATTAGAGTGCGACTTTTGCGGAGTGAGTGCGTGTTCGCCTAGAAAGATTTTATTCATACAGAGCTCCTTTCATTTAAGATGTAAACTGTTATTCAATAGGATCAAAGGTGTAAGAAAAAAGACGACTTTGCACAATTTTAAGGTTCCGTATTTGATTTCTTAAGTATACCTCGAAAGGACTTCTCAAAGACCTGCTCTGTTCGTTCAGGGATGGTGGTAGGCCGCCACGCCATAATCCCATTTCCTGTCTGCGAAACCGGTCATGCCTGAGTGCCTCCAATGGTTTTGCAGATTGGATGGGGTGAGTTAGTGACTTCACTGCGTGTCAGTTTAGATCCGGTCACTGGAACAGTGGCTTTGCGGCTGATCTACTCTCCTCGCCTACACCAACACGACGTTCTTTTGCAGATCCGATCGTAGAGATAATGCAAACCGATTCTTTTGACTCCGACAACTAAGTCATATTGACGGTTCAGATACCCAACCAAACCCAAGGTTGTAGAAACTTATTAAGTAGTTTAGCACCAAAATAGGATCAGCAGAACAAAAGGAGGTAAAAAACTATTTGAGTTCACGAAATGAGTACTTTACGGTGACCACCGACAAGAATCCAAGCACTTTGGCATCAGTCAGAGAGGGTGGCAGATGTCAGAGGGTCTAAGGGGAAGATTTGCAAAGAGAGAAGTGCAGCTCCTCCTCTTCCTTCATTTCTCCCATGTTTTGTTGGGACAGTTTATGCATACCAACTTCCATATTTACCCGACATCTGTAGTGACAGCACTGCAAAGGCCTTGTAGTGTGCAAATAAATTTCTACTGAAGGCCTAGTGAATTGAAACAAATGGTAGCTACTTCTTCAACGCGAAGAGGGTCCTGTTTTTTTTCCTACAAAAACTTTAGATCCACTAGCCAGGTGTAAACAAACCCTGTTGACCACCGGCTGAAGTTGTCAAACGTTGCGACAGGTTGTGGGGACAAAGGTGGCCTGAGGACTCCGTCATAGTGACGTCAGGATTAATGGCAGAGGCAGTGGACAGGACCTGTCACTAGCTTTGTAGTCGAGCTAATTGATTTTTTGTGCCTCAGCTTTTTGGTTTCAGCCACCACTTTGGGGGGGGGAGGGGGAGGGGAGGAGTGACGCCGACTGAAAACCCCCACAACAGTGCTTTGACAGCAGGATGAGTCGACGTGGTAGCCCTTGAGCGCCCACTGCTCTTCTCATTGTTACTAACGTAGTGGAGACATTGAGACTTCCAACGTCTTGGAGCTAACAAAAAGGATTTTGATGTCTTTTCATGCTAAGAAAGTAGGCAATTGAAAATTCGGTTTGCCTTGACAATTTGCTGCATTTTAGTGTTTAAATAAGCAGTTATTCGAAAATGAGGCAGCTGAATTGAGGCGAGAGCTATTGGGAGAAAGATGGAAGCCGAGAATAAAAGTCCATTTTTACCAAAAAAAGTTTATTACATCTGTTACTCCGGAATATTGAAATGATGTACTAAAAGGCGATTAAGGTAGGACCACTGAATGATCTTCTGGCCTGGAAAGCCCTTCCTTCGCTTGGTCAGCTCACCTTTGGACAGTGTCGTAGCCCCCCAACTAGGACGCAGTGGAGGTCGAAAGTGAATTGAGAAGACATTTACTCTCACCGAGGGAGATGTGCACGCAATGTTACAGCCAGCTCGAACAGTTTACTTACGCTAGCGCTCACAGTAATGTGCAATTACCTCACCAAATGCCGAGGGTGCGTAGTCTATCAATCTCCTGCCACGAGTTGCATCCACCATGGAGGAGGCTTAAGCCATAATTAGGAATTAACCTCAGGTGTTGAATTACTCATGTGTGAGAAGTTGAGTTTGCACCTCATCATCACCATTCCAACCACCCGCCCACATCCACTTCAAATCCTCCATATGCCAAGAAAATGTACATTTCTGGGTGTGGGTGGTACTAGAGAATTCGATGGATTACTTAGGAGTGACCAACAAGCATGTTCTTTCGTATGACTAACGTTGGAATGTAAAAATGCCTTCCTATCATTAAATAGTGATTCAAGAAAAGGTGCGGAATGCACATCGGTTCCTTAATGTCTGTTGCCACCCATTTGCATCCGGAGTTTGTGTCATCAGCCTTCACAACTGTCATTCTCAAGGTGGCTTGACAATCTCGTCAGGACCTTCTCCACCATTAAAGACAGGTGGCTCCTCTAGACGTCCCACTTTCATGACCTTGACAAATGTTCAGCACTTCTTCAGTGTCTAGACCCGGAAAAAATTTGTGACCCATTGGGACGAACTTCGGTCTGTCTTAAAGTCTCAGTGCTTGCTTTGCGAAACCTTCCGCAAGGCGATGTTCGATTGGTGTGCGTAGGTTCGTCCCAATGGTGCAAAAGGACTATAGCGTCACGATGACCTTGGAATGGTGAAAAAGGACGCCACGACCATCACAACTGCAACTTTCTGATAAAAAGTCGAAAAGTTAGAACTGAACTGATTTTGTAACAGAGGAAGAGATTCCAGAAAAAAATTCTTTGTGTACAGAGCTTTTTCATGTAAAATGGAGCATTCAAGACTGATCGGATGGAATAAAATGCACAGAATTGGAAGTCAGAGGCTACGAATGCTTACCTGGATCCGAGTAACTTGCTTTCATGATTGGAAAATATCCAAACATCCTCCTTTCAAAGACGCCTTCATGATTAATTGTGCCCTGACTTTACACATTTGCAAGCCTCAATGAGAGGTGGTGATGTGCGAGTAGCTTCCACTGGTAGAATGCACATTCCTAAACTAAGTCTTCAAGGAGAAACATTCCATATGTTGAGTTGTTGAAGCGATCGCCAAGGCTCCTTCTAAGTGCTGTCATCACGGTAGCATCCCTTTTAACCATTTTCTTATTCATCTTGAAGGAGCTCAATTCCTTGCATTCACAGGCTACTCCACTGTTCGTGACTGCCTTCGAGCATCAGCGATCCGTCTTTTGAGCTACCAATACTTCACCGGTCGTACTTTCATCGCCCTCTCCATGTTTCTCTCCCTTGCCTCGTTCGGTATCTTTGTCTCGGAGGCGAGTCAATGGCCAAATGAGATCGAGAAGTGTGGTCACAAGGGTCGCACTCATCGCCTCCTCGACTTCCTCTTCAATCTCTTCTTCCTCCTCCACTTCATCATCCGATGGGCAGCAGCGGATAACAAACTGGTGTTTTGGTTGGAACCCTTCTCCTTGCTGGACTACTGTACTGTTCCACCCTGCCTCCTGGCATTTGCATTGCAAAGGTCGTGGATGGGGCTGCGTTTTATGCGCATCTTTAGACTCTTCAATTTGGCCGAGGTGCTGCATAACCTGAACATCATCAAGTCGGCCTCGGCACTGCGCTTCTGCCAACTCACCTCCTTCTTCTTTGCGATATGGTTAGCTGGTGAGTCTCACTTTGTTACACTTGATAAAAAAAACAGAGACTAATTGTGCCGTCAGAATTCAAACATGAACAATTTAGAAGTTCAGCACCACCATCTTCCACCACCTCATGGATCACGCAGTTGCTGAAATGGCGACGAACATCTTCTGAAAATGAAGAGGTTTTAAGTCAAAAAATGATTTAAAAAGTCAACTCCAAATATGCGTTTAGTCCAAGATCCTAGAAGCTCCTTGCACTTGTGGCTACTCTTCTGATTGGTACATCACCAGTACAGAATCAGGGCCAATTAATTATTATATTAATTATATAAGGGGAAGACAGACTCTACCACCTTCCACGTGCCACTTATCAGCCTCATTCACAATCACTGATCGAGAAGGCCGTCCAATGGAAGAGCTGATCCGAGGCTGGAAGCTTGATGGGGCACCAAAAACACGCCCACAGAATGAATCGCAGTTCACTTGGCCCATGGCGCTTGATCTCCTACCAGATTTCATTTGTTTTTACAAGTTCTGGGGTTTGGCTCTTCACTTATGTCTACTGTAGTTGTTCTGTTCATCAAAGTACGCCTAAAGTGTCAGCAAAAGAGTTGGTGAAAAGTGACGAGACCTCTCCACCCAAAACATGATAGAACAGATAGGAAGTTCCCTCTATTCACTGTTTTCCGTTCACTCTAATTGGAGAAGACGAAGGGTGTTGGCAATTAGTTGGTCTCGCTGGATTTAGACGCCTCGTCTAATCAGGAACTTGCTTTAGACTGAAGCTGCAGCAAGTTAGTGCATCCTCTTATTGTAAAGTCTTGAATTAAGCCTTTGAGTGTCAAACTTCGAGGAAGATGCTCCAGTGGGACAAAGTGACGGTCCCTGCTTCTGACCAACTGCAATCTCGTCCACCGCTTATCTAGGCTTCAAGACAAAGGTGGTCCAGTTTGCTACCGTGTGGAGTACTGGACAACGTTAATCCACTGATCTTGGCAACGTGGACACTACCGACTTGTCTGACATCAGCCAAGCAGAAGGGACGGAATGAGATCTTAGCACTCGGAATTGTTTTAAAATTACTTGAGAGAATACAATCCTTCGTAAATCCCCAACAGAAGTGCTCTCTGAGATTGCAGGCATCCTCCTCTCCTCTCGTAGAAAAGTTAACAGTCACTGCGTCCTCTCAACGGTTTCACATCTTTGGCGATAACTAAAGGAGAATTTCTTTTTTTCTTCAGAAATATGCGTATCAGTGGAGTGTCGGGCTTGACTAGTGCATCATTTGTGCATCGCAAGCGAAATGTCTTAATGGTATTGTTTTGTAGCATGGATGGATAGAGCTTTTTGCAAAGTCATTGAAGACTTCAATGACACTCTCTGTGGATGAGTGGATGCATATGAACACTGGACTGCAACCGAAGAAATTGGAGCAACTCCGAGTCGGTTGGTTTGGATCCGACCGCAGTGTTGAGGGAAACAGAAACACCCTTCGTCTCCAATCAGAAGCTCCAAAACGACAAGGATTTTCGGTGTTGATGCCATGGGAATTTTATAGTCGCAATTTTAAAGTACCATCGAGAGTGAAGCGCGTGTTGGCAAGGGTTTCAGTAATTGTGCATTCTTGTTTTCTTAAGTAGCTTCTAGATCCAGGGAAGGAGCATTAACTGCGAATACCAGCAGAATGCTTGAGTGTAAAGCTTGAAAAGGTCATTATAGGAGAACCTTTTTGGAGTCGAAGATGGTGGAGCGGGAGGAGATGAAGGCATCCCAAACAGTTGGCATCCTAACTCCCTGTAGAGGAAAAAAAGATGTATTGTTGGGCCGATCTCAGGGGACACCTTGCTTGCGTTACCTTTAGGTCTGAAAGCAGGCCCAACAAAAGACGGCTTTTTATTCATTTGGCATAGTCCTCCTTTCTGCTACTCCTGAGGGCATCTGCCCATCTACTCGCGTTGTTGAGACTGTCAACTCCACAAAATCCAATTTTTGCCCTCCATCCAGAAAGTCCCAGAGGTTGAAAGAGTCTCTGTGATGCATTTCTTTGATACTAATTTAACTGTGCCGTTGTCAACCAACAGAGTCATCATACGACTATAAAATCATGGAAACATTTTAATTTCGAAAGGAAAAAGTCATACACCTCAATCCTATCCAAACTTGACTTTTTTGTTCCGTTTACAGGGGCAGGAATGATCTTTTTATTAGAAAATACCGGAGATCCCTTTGGTCCATCACCCTACGGCAATGCAGTTCGTTTAACCTATGGCCAATGCCTCTACTTCGCCATTGTTACAATGTCAACTGTTGGATACGGTGACATCACACCTCAAACAGTTTTGGGTCGCATCTTCACCAGCGTCTTCATTCTCTGTGCCCTCGCTGCATTCGCCTCTTGCATTCCTGAAATCGTAGAGATGTTTCTCGCCTCCAGCAAATACTCTGGTGCCTACGCCTCCAGGCCGGGACGTCGACATGTCGTGGTGTGTGGTGATGTAACCACAGAGTCGGTGAAGCACTTCTTAGACGACTTCCTCCACCCAGACAGGCGCCGAACCGATGTTGAGGTGGTCTTCATGAACCGATCAAAACCGGATCTGCGGTTACAGAGTCTGTTGAGGCGACACTTCTCCCGAGTGAAGTATTTAGAGGTGAAGTTCTTAACTCTCTTTCGTAATTAATGAGATGGTCGAAAAATCTGCTTTTCAAACGAAGGTTCTGCGTTAGAGTTGAAAAAAGAAGACTGCTGCAATACTAAATGAGTAGATCAAATCTTCTAGAGTCCGGAAGTGTCAATTTTACTTATTACTTTTTCAATCATCTCAATTCTTTCCATTCGAAAGAAAACAAGTGGCAAAAATGCACTTGCAAAACCTGTACCAGAAGTGAGCAACGAGTCTTTGTTTCCTAATGCTGTGCCAATCATTGAGTTCGTCCACAGTTGAAAACCCATGCAAAATGCAAAGGAGCACAACGACATCTTGGCCATTTGGATGAGAGGTGCAGTAACTACCTGATCACAAAGATTGGCCTTTCCTTTGGCCAACGCGTGAACATCCATCCAATAAAGTAGCCTTGAATGCTGATGTAGGATGTCTTTTGGGCCCCACTCGACATTATAATACACTTTCAACCTACTTTTGGAGGTACTTTTAGCACTTACCTGTGTCCTCACATCACGTTACTTCTGCTTATGGGGAGGAGAGCCCATGGTCACTTGCGCCTCCGTGGGTAACACGGCTGCACATCCATCCATCGGCCTCATTGTTGTCCTGATGTGGAAGCGCAGACTGAATATTCGCCTTATCCGGCTAAAGAGAATGGAAAAGAGAAGGGACGAGCAACGGTAGGATAAATGTGTACTTCGGTGGCGATGGAACACCCTCCTGTAGAGTCGCTGACATTGTGTACAAGAAACTGATTGCGGTGATACAGAACGTATAGTGCGTTTTCGATGCCTCGCCTTGTGACTGCAATCCGTCATCTGTCACCCTAAGTTGAAATGATGCCACTTATGCAATGCTGGACGCAACAAAAGTCTAAGTTATCGCGTCAGTGCCTTTCAGTGGGTGCAGTAAGCTTTCACAAATCGTGTGGATGGGTTTTCTACAGTCGTTTAGACCACAGCTTCCCACTTTTGGTAATGACTTCTAAAAGCCTTGGCTGCATAGATTAATGGGAGTCTATTTACATCCAAGGGAGGGGATGCAGAGATCGCTACATTTGGGACACGAAGGGGAGTGGGCAGGCCATTGCTGCCCTCGGTGCACATGACTACGACTACCCACAATGGCAACACCATTAGGCATTATCAGTGCTATTTGTGGTTACCGTCTCCATCCCCTTCCACATATTCCCCATCTCCATCAATGGCAAATAATTGGTACTTTACAGAAATGCCACAAGTACGATAGACAAATGCGATCACACTGTATGCACGGACACTGTCAATTTCTTTGATATTCGTCTTCTCTTTTGTCTGCGTGACTTGTGGTTTCCATAACTTTTAATCCAATACCAAATGACCCATAGGAAATGGGAAATGTGGGTGCACAAGGGTCTGGAGAAATCTGATGCAGCCCTTCAAAGAGGTGATTTCAACGCCTTTCGAAGGGTGTTGAGAAATGCTCCAAAGGCAGTACTCGCATTTATACTACTTAATTCCACCTAAACCGCGTGCCGAGAAGTACAATTTTTTTTTCGCCTAAAAAAAGTTTTTTGTTCCAACCCAAAAGAACAAAAATTCTTCTAAAATGTTTTGCGAAAAGCGCTGCTACTTCAAAGTAGTTTACTTGTTTTCGAATCAGCACTGCTAGTTGCCTTCCCTAACTTTCCTATTTATTTTCTTCAATTTGTGCCAAAGTGCCATGGGAGACGCCTGTCCAGAGGAAGTTTTGCTCTCAACGTAGAGAACCATTCGCCACTCACTGATCCGCCATTCTTGAGTAACGCGTTGGTTGTTGCTTGTGCCTTGAAGTAGGTGGATAAACGTGACATGCTTGAGGTGCCCTCCTCCTCTTGACATTCCGAAGTAGAGTTTCTCGAAAAAGACCTGCACCTCTATTTGTGAACTTAAAAAGCAGGGGTTTGTTGGCCTCAAAAAAGGCTAGTTGACAAGCAGGATACGGTGGATGGCACATCTTCTCCTCCGCAGGGTTTGAAGTGTTTTTTTTTTCTCTTTTTGAATGTCAAACACTAAGTAAATCTGCAATCCTCATTTGCTATGGTACATCTCGAAGATGTAGAAGGAAAAGGTGGCTTGTGAAGTAAGCAAAAGAAAACCTTGCTCCAACTACTTCAAGACTTTTTGCAGCAATTTAGTGGGAATGGAGGGAGGCACGTCGATAGCGTTCTGTAGCCCCTGGAAGTTATACGATTATCTCTTGTAACAGTCCTTAGTGCATCTTCGTTTTTAACCCTCTTTGAAGGAGAATGCAATGCGATTTTGCAAGACTGCACAGTTCTACCTAAGACCTGGACCATCCTATTTAAGGAAGGACGATTTGCCACAATTTAGGTGATTAAAAGTTCAGTATCTGCTATTAAAAGCAATAAACAGGGGCAACAGATTTTTGTTAAAGAATGGACCGAAAAATCCCAGTAATAATCCAACATCTCTTGGGGAATATGCAGATTTATGACTAACAAGAGTCAAAGTTTGCATCCTCAAAATCTTTTTTCTCAGATCGGAAAAATGTCCAAATTTATGTAACGCATTCGCAACATGCTCTATCTTGACCATGGTCTTGGTGGGGCGGAGAGAGGAGGGTGGGAGGCAGTGGGTCTAAAATTAGACCCTTAGACATCAAAAAAGACGGGTGGGCATATCGGTGGAACGCCACCCTTCTCCTCTTCATACAATACCACCTTTTAAGTTGACACACCGTCTACTTATGCGGTAACGCCTGAAGGGTCCATCTTGCGTAGCTGAACCAGTCCTTCTTTTGACTGGCGAATAATGGAGCAACCCCGATCCAGTTCCCAGGTGGAGGAAAAAATTTTTAGTTAATTGGCTGTGCACAAATCCTTTTACTGTTTGATTTAAGAGAATAAAAAGCCCGTGTCTGGAGTTGGTTTTGCTCCTGGTTATGCTCTCTTATCTAATTTACGACCCTCGCCGTATCGCCCATCTCTGCCATCTATTGTTTGAGTGGAAGAGAGGGGAAATCGTATTGCTTGACTGTGTGCACGATGTTGTCAAAGCACCCTTTATGAGTGGTGGAGAGGGCTTGTACCCCAGTACGAGGTCGTTTTGATTTCCCACCTCCCCAATATTTGTCATCTGGTGCAACATAATAAGAAGTGGGTTTATGAGACTATTTACTCTATCCAGCTTGAGCCCATTCGCCCAGTCACTACGACCCTGCAGAACTAAATCAGCCACTATCCCACTACGAACAGAGGAAGCTTTATTAGCAATACTGATGTTGTCTTTCTGAGCGGAAAGTAATGAGCAGGGTAAATTTGGAACCTACGCATTGATACTACACTTCTGTTCCCTTTACAAATTTCACCACTTCAAGTCACAAACAACTTCACTGTGGGTATACAACATGATCCGGTGGTTCGATGAAGTCCGATCTGTCCGGTGCAGAAAGGATCGACGTAGACAAGAGAATGAAATCCCACTTTATCCACATCTACGATAAAGTCGCATTAAGACTACGTGTTGATGGTGTATTACCGTGACGGTGACTCCAAGATAGAGGAGGAAAAGGTGTAGAGAGCCTGCATACTTAAGGAAACGGGACTTTGTTAGGCTTTGACTCAATCAAAGACTTCAATGATGATCTCACTGGCAGCACCGACAATCCTCACTGAATAAACAATAGGTTAACTTGCCTTTCCTCCCCATCTTTGATAGGGCACCGTGATGAATCATGTGGACCTTGGTAGAGCGAACATGTCAAATGCCGATGCCTGCATGATTTTAGCCAACAGTCGGGCAGTGGATCCGGCTCAGGAGGATGCTGCCAACATCATGCGTGTGGTCGCAGTGAAGAACTACGCCAGCAACGTTCGTGTCATCGTTCAGTTACTGCAACAATGCAACAAAGTGAGAGAGTGACATTTATTGCTTTTTTTTCATTTCGCGTTTGAAACATGTATTTTGGTGACCTCTGTTGTGACTGATTTGAGTTCTCCATTCCAACAATCTCGAGTTAGCTGATTTGGAACGGCCGTGGTCCAATAAACACTCTCGTCAAGGGTGATTTTGATAAATTTCCTCTGACTTTGATAGGAGAGGTAGTGTTCTACAGTGCCTCCAATTACTGTCTACTGATATCTCATGAAAGTATCATTAGTGTCTTGTCCTACTCTCCACTTCTACATTGTATTCATTTGTATCACCTCTTTTCACGTGTTGGCCAAGGCAGCCGAGACACCCGCGAGGTCAACCCTGTTAAAATGAAGGTCAATCCCACCGCTATCAGCCTGTCTTCTTTCGCAGTGAGTAGAAGCCTCTCTGTTGCAAATGCTATTAGATCTGCCGAAGTAAGAGCCTTATCCGAAACCTTCAACAGAACCCACTGTAAGATAGAAACGCGATTAATGCTTCGCAGCTTGGTGAATTCCTTGTGATGTTTCTGTCACTAAATTGGAGGCGACAATGGAGACCTAAGCACCATTTTACAGGGCCAGTAAAAATGTTGTCCAGCTGAGGAGACACTGAATTTAGGTGAACAAGCCACGACTTATTAGCAGAGAACCATGTCGACAAGCGGTGATTGTTTATGCCAGCCTTACCTTGTGAACGGAAGGAAAATCTTCACACCGCCATTCGGAGGGCTGGCATAATCCCAAACACGAGTCCATGTGACTAATTAGGGCGTTGCCATTTTATCAGATCCTTTGGTGGAGTTAAAAGTTTAAAGTGAATTTTTGTTATTTTCTGGTAGTGGTACTAGACATGCGCCTCCTTTTGATAAAACCCTTGTTCATGTAAGTAAGTACGCTTTCAGCACAACAATAACTCCTATTTTACAGTCCTCCAATTCAGCAAACAAAATCCGCTCATTTCATTAAATTTGTTACTCTACTTTAAACCGGTTAACTCAGTCCCATCTTGCAGCGATATTGTGGGGAAAAATCCAAATCAATGAATGCGATGATAAATGAACAAAAACGACACTACCTTCCCGCTAACTTAACATACACACTTTGTCCAGTATGGACAAAAATAGCTTTATCCAACATGCTTTCAAGTAATTATCAAAATTACATCAACACTTGACACCACCCTGGCATTACAGACTGTAATGGTGTTAAAATGTGGATTCAAATTGCTGTGAGAATGAGGTACGTCATGTCTCAAGCTGACACAATCAATGGACACAGGCTTTCATACGGAAATGTCTTTGCTGGGGGCGCAAATCGAGTAATCGACTTGTTAGAAAGAGAATGCAGGAGACAGTAATACCAGACCTGATTATTTCTGGCATTTGATTTGCCTTGCTCCCATACTAATTGCTAATCAACTTGAAGGTCACAAACATTGGCCAATCAGGAGGGGACGGGCTCACGACTATTTGAAATGCGCATCACCTAGCAACAAATTCAAAAGTTGCAAATAAAATTAATTACAAAGTTTACTCTAAATATTTGAATCGTCAATGTCTCGTGTAACTCAATCTACTTACGACTTAAAGACTTCAGAAATGATTATACTTTGACTATTGAAGCGATGTATATCTAATGGGTCCAGTCCGGTGGAACATATTCCCAAACCAAAGTCAAATCGAATGCTCCCTTTCTGGTATGGTCAACTAAGAAAATTAAGCCTGAAAGTCCTGAGCGACTAAAATAGAAGTAAGGCAAATTATAATTCTCTCCATCGAATCTCTCTTTGAGAGGTCGAATATCCTGACCATCTTTATTCATCCAATCACAATAACGACAAGGAAAGCAGAGAGGAGATATCTTTTGCCATCTCACAGAGGACCAAGGTCGGTAACTGTGGCAACTAGAGGATGCACCCTCACTGTTCTGCCACATAACAACCATGACACATCTGCAACAAACAAAATGAAAACCTTTTCAACATTTATTCACCAATAACGAAGATGAAGATGCGGAAACGATAATGCTGTCGAGTAATATATATACGTGACCTTATCGCTTGCCTACACCAGTCTTACAAGCCTCCCAGCATCGGAATTCATTATCTGTGTCATGGAGTAAATACTTCGCCTAAAAAACGGTCTAACATCAATGCCCATTACATGCATAAAGAAGAAGTAGGAAGTCTTTACGTCAAGATTTACTTGGTACTTAGTCGCCATATTTGATGTCTCGAACCATTCAAAATCATGCCAGATTACAAAGGGTTTTATTTCCAATGTTTAGTGGCATTCAGGTAAACCTTAACAAACTTAGTAACCAAGCTGAAAAATGATGCTAGAATCATGAAATTAAAAAGGATTAAAAAAGAAACACTTCACTGCACTTTTAAAGCCTTTCATGAATAAACCTCGTTTGCCTTTCCTCTAGTCAATCAGAGTACCATTATTCCTGAATGGCACTGACGACTGATTGACCGATATTTTGATTTGTTCAAGTGACTGTAAGATGATTGGTTCTCACTTGACGGCCTAACCAATCAAGAACCAACCCGGGTAAGGCTGAGCCATCTGAATGCTGAAGCAGCATTCAGTCAACCAATGAAGAGAAGCATAACTTATTTATCTATAAATCAACATAAAGCGACTCATCAGAGCTATCTACTAAACGAAGATGAGTTTGATGACAAAAACAAGATTAAATTACTTTGAAATAGCTCCAGTCTGGTTTACTTTGTTCGTCTTCCACAGTCCCACCTCCTTAACATCCCCACATGGAATTGGCACGCTGGAGATGAAATCGTCTGTTTCTCTGAGCTCAAACTCGGGTTTTTGGCACAAAGTTGCCTTGCACCAGGATTCTCGACTCTTCTCACTAACCTCTTCTCAATGCGCTCCCTCCATGGCCAAGAATCCATAGCTGGTGCTGCGATCGCCATGGAAGATGTCGCAATAGCAGATGCAGCCAACACCACCCTCGTTGCTACCCCAACCGCAGCTGATGGTAACGCAGATGAACAGGAGATCACTGAAACTACCGAGAGGAAGCTACATTCCGCAGCAATGCCCAGTCTGGCTCTGCGGTTTTCAAAAAATGTTCGAAAGCTTTACAACAATTCACTCAGACGGAACCAAAAGGGTAGGAGTGGACCCCAAAGCCTAATTAATCTCAATCGTTTGGAGAGAGGCTTAATGCTCTCAGCGGTGAGTGCAGAAGCCATAGCAGCAGCCAACACCCCCTGGCTGAGAGAATACCTCCATGGCGTGAGTATGGAGCTCTATTCAGCGCGTTTCTCCTCCGCATTCGATGGAATGACCTTCGCAGAAGCAGCTAAGGTGTGTATGCAGCGGCTGGAGTTGATGCTGATTGCTATTTTGACACAGAGTGCGGAAGAGGAGGGAGATGGGGGCACTGGACACTATCCTTACCTAGTGATCAACCCCCCCTCGACTCCACATTCAGCGATTCGTACAGGAATGATTGGATTTTTCATTTGTGACTCACAGGTAAGGAACTCATGAAAATTTAGCAGTTTCTATTTCGGCACACGATTTTCGATCTTTTTTCCCTCCTGGCACCAGGAAATTGCTAGTCGGGCCACAAACTACTGTCTTCGATGTCACAGAGATGTCAAGGCCTTTGCACAAATCCGCAGATGCGGTTGCAAAACCCAAGGCTTTCGAGAGCGAATCCGAAATTTGCGTGACCGAATTTCGGCCGAAATCGGGGATAGTAGTCGAGCCAGTAGTCGATTGGCACCACCAACTCCCACGTCGTTCAATCAATCGGCTTCCAGACTATTTCAACAGCCCTCCACGACACCTCTCTCACCGAGTGAAGGATCAGAAGTGATCGAGAGGCCAATACAGAAGGAAAATGCAGACAAAAAAATTGATATCACCGGTAAGTGATACTGAAGTCATTGACGGTTCCACACCAGTAGGTAGAAGCCATCTGCTGAAAAGATTACCACATTTTATTGTGTTGAACGTGTATTTTCAATCATTTAGGTGTTCACTACTGGTGCCCAAAGCGCTATCTAAGCTGTGCAATCCTTCCAAACAACTACAACGTAGAGAGTGAGATTTCCGAAGCTGAAACCAACAAGTGTCTTCGAAACCATATCCTTGTCTGCCTCTTGGCCGGTGAAAAGGCTCCCCGCCTGGGTCTACGATCCTTTGTCCTTCCTCTACGCGCCAGCAACATTCCAGCCCATGAACTGCGTCCCATCATCTTCCTCACCTCTCATGAGTACATTGCAGCGGAATGGCATGAAATGCAGAATTTTCCTGACATCTACTTCCTCCCTGGTTCGCCCTTAAATCGTCGAGATCTTTGGGCGGCTCGTATTCAACTCTGCTCTGTTTGTGTGGTTATTGGTGTCCCGGAATGCAATCATGTTGATGACCCTTATCTGCTAGACAAGGAGGCTATACTGTGCTCCCTAAATATCCGTGCTCTTAAGATCCCCCCCTCACTTCGACAGTCGGTAAGCGACGACATCGCAGCAAGATCGAGTGGAGCAGAAATCCCCCTTCTCACTTCCCTTTGTATGGACTCGAATATCCACTTCCTGGATCCTGATGACTTTGAAACTGGAAACGCAGACATCGATATTTTCTTGACTATGCCGTTCGCAAGAGGTTTGGCTTTTACTGGATCAGTGTTGGATGCACTCGCTTCCACTGCGTACTTCGACAGAAATGCAATGACGCTGATCCGGTATCTAGTTACAGGAGGTACGACTCCAGTACTAGAGCAGTGGGCTGCGTACGGCGGTGACTTCTACGACAACTTACAAATCACAGACATCGGAGAAACTCAAGTAAATGAGTTTCTTGAAACTCTACGACGCAACAATACAAAACGTCCAACTATTGCTCAACTAAGTTTCAACGATCCGCGATTGGCTCGTATTGTGGAAGACCACAATAGCGACGTCGGGGCAATAACTTTCGGAAATCTCTTTTGTCGAGCTCTGGAAGAACACGGAATTCTCTGCCTAGGTCTCTTTCGTCTAAACACCTCAGCCTCAACAATTCGACGCGAAGGAACAAGTAGTTGCTCATTAAATAAGCAAGTTACGACAGCTAGACGTGCAAGCGCGTGTAGTCCACCTGAACCGGTGAAAATGCGAATTCTCTTTGAGGAGCATCTAGACGTTAAATCCCCAACAGAGCCCACAAAGTTAGTGGATAGAGCTAACTTACCTCTGGGACCCCATTCAGCAAACAATCGTTTTGTCATAACTAGCCCTCCCTACAACTTCCCGGTGTACACCCATGATTTAGTCTTCTGCCTTATCCCCTGTCTGTAAGACAACAGATTATCTACTATCCATTATTTCAGTAGCTTATAATAGAACGAACAAGGACCACTTTTATGCCGCTCTAGTCAACACCGGGCATACCGATGGCATAAAAAAAGGGTTCCCACGTGATTTGCGCTAATGATGCAACCTATAATGAGCCGTGAGTATATTGTGTGCCAATGGAATGATAAGGGAGGGATTAAAGCGACAATAGAATGGCGCTTTAATTGTTGGAAACACGAGCCCACGAAGGTGGATAGGGTGTGTGAAAAGTCCTCTTGACAGCTTGAGTGAAATTCCTATAACAGTGGGATAACGTTGGAAGGAGTGACAAAGAGGAAGACCTCAACTAGAATGAAAATTGAAGCGGGGACAAACGTTCGTGACTTTGAAATCTCACAAATTCTACAACCTGAGGGGTCAACGAACCCAAAATTTGACATGGATATCCTTGTCCTCTGGTGGTTGCAAGTATGCAAAGAAAAATGCAAGGTACAGAGACTAGATACCAAGCTAGAAGGATAGTGAGAATACTCCATTATCGCGTTCCCATCCTTTACCCCTCCACCCTTCCCAACACACAGTCAACTTACTCACAAAGAAGGGAAGTATGTAAGGCAGCAATTGCGTGATGCTAAGAAGCTACCACAAATGGTGGTCAGTGCACGCAGTACATACCCGCCTATAAACCGTGCTGACCACCTGGAACAAAGTGCGATAATAAGCCATTCTAATCCATTGCACCGCCTTCTCTTCCATTATGCCTCATTTCTTCTCCTCAATCACACTTCATTCATAACTAGAAAGTTTCATTAACAAAGGTAACGACAAAAGAGTCAGACACATGTACCACCTCACAGTCATCCCAATTTTTCGATAGTTGAGATCAAAAGAAGTGCCTACTGTTCAACAGTGATAAGGCGGATACATACGTGAGGTGTTGCTCTTTACCACAGAGTAACCTTATGGAAGCTATTCTCCACGGAGCCTCTACTGTCCCATTCCTACTCACACAAAGTAAGTAGCAAGCTCGACAAGCTGTCACATTACTAGCGTTGCTAACTGTTGCAGAACTATGACACGTTTTCCTCCCTCCACAAAAAAACCAACGTAAAAGGACAATCGACACCGCATTGCATGGATTCGACGATGTCTAATCTGACTGATAGATAAGTGCGCATCAAGTGTGGCGGCCAATCGGTCTCAACAAGCGTTTAGCTTGATAAATCAGATTGCGCACAATATTACCCACCTAAAAGGACGATTGATACAAGCCAACAAACAACTAATCCGTTCACTAGGGATGGGATGATAATGATGATTATTAATAAGGAAAAACGATTCACAGAAGGAAAACAACGCTGAAGTTCCATTTTAGAGTGGAAAAGTAACTGTATGCATTCACAATTTTGTTTTTGAATAAAACTTGAACAACGAGAGGAGAATAATGGGAAGCAAAGTGGGTGAGTACAATGTTCATGAAGAAAACACCATTGCTCCATCAAGTTAGTCGTTGCACTCCTTTACACCTGAGAGAAAAGTGGATTAATGTTAGAGAGCTAAATTAAAAGCATTTCCTTCTGTTCTTGAGCCCCAAGACGATGAACCCAGATTGAAGGAAGAAAGTGTGAAAACACGGGACTATGTGGACTTGACTGGGAGAGTGCTTTCAAAGTTGGAGTACTGTTAAAATGACTGTAATCGTTCAACGCAAATGTCGAAATAAAAATGATGCGAATGGACAACTGACTGCCTTATGGTTTCGTGGAACCGCCAATACTGAAAAAAGATGACCAAAGGTAAGTGGGAAAGACCACTTTATCTATCGTTCAGAGCTACAGTAAAGTACTTGCACGACACTAAGCAACCAAGTTAGTAAAAATTTAGATGGCGGACGGCTCGAATGCCCTGATGAAGCATGTTAAAACGGCGTTGGTGGCAAAAGACGCCCTGTCGACAATGGACTTTCAAGATCAGTGGCTCGCAATGTGGCCGCCTATGCAAATCGAATACAGTGATGTTAGCGAAGAACACCAACTTGACCTCGGAACAGGAATAACCATCAACTCCCCTCACATTGTGTAGCATTAAAGCATCCAAAAGAAGACGAACTCCTGAGAAGCTAGTCGAGCGAGAGTCAAAGGAAAATTATGAGAAGACTGCAACCGGCGAAAGCAATATGATCGCCAAAGAGACCACCATTCTCGCAAGGAGTCAAGCAAACAAAGTGCTGCATCGCCCACTCTCCCATTAATCGACGATCTCGGCACTTCCTTCCATAGGCCTCTCACATTAGCCATCAGAGTGTTTTTTAGTGCTTCAATAAAACACCTACAGGCCAGCCGTAGCAACCATCTGCTACTACTTGACGGAGGAAAGGCGCTTTACCTCATTGTCAGTTATCCGCAGCATCTATAACTGGACCTAGAGTTCCTTTCCGTCCGAAAACAGGTTTCAGACAATGGGGTCCCCATTGTGTCCGAGACCAGATGATGAAACGCTTGTCTGAAACGGGTTGATAAAAAGACACGGAATCTAAGACCCGTGCGGATACTGTGCGGCGCAAATACCCTTACAAATGGTTCACGGTACGTCTCGCTTTAGCTTTTGAGAACATGATTAAAGAACACGAAAAAGAGCTAGATACCAGGGTTTGACGTCAGTCCCAAACGCTACATTAAGGAGTAATTGAATTCGCCTTCCTACCCTCTCCCTACGATGCACATCCACTGCAAGCGCATTGCAAATTTTGTCACAAGAAGTGAAACAAGGAATGAATTTTTCCAAGGTCGGTTTAGCTTTCGCAACCACGAATATAGCATGTCTAGGACCCGCATTTAGTGATAGAAAGTACAGGACATCTCTTATATCCAGAGAGAGAGGACATGAATCTTTTGCGCGGCCCCAAGGTCAACCTGTCCAGAAGCCAAGACAACCACCATACATACAGGCACTGGAATAAAGCATTGCGCCAAAGATTTCTATGACGTAGCGGAATGTGTAAAGCTTGGCTGACTAAATGTACCCAAAAAGAAAAAAAAAGGACAATTAATAATTGCTCTAGACCGAGAGCCAGCCCACAAGGCAGAAGCTATACTGCTCCCAAAGCGACCAACATTCGTGCATTAAGCCAAGAAAAGCGTTATGGAAAAAAGCCAGTCGAACAAGTTTTAAAACCTGAATGGCGAATTATGAATGTGAACTAGTACAAACTACATTTTAATTTGTCTCGAATTCAAAAGCTTTATGGATCATCTTCATTTGGGGGTTAAGTTAGCATTCAGGCAGTGCCAATGCTCTCCCCGCCAAAAATATGCGAATCACAGAGAAGTACTGAGTCTTTCACCGTCTATGGAGAACATGGAATGTCTCAGTGTATTCGGTAAAATGTCCGTGACCCGCATGCGAAAAAACTTTGAATTTATCCGAAAAAACTAAAATTTTTAAAAAATATTAAATAACTACTGTTGAAATAAGCTACTTGTCTTTCACATCACTAAATAAGGAAACAATTTCATATCAAATCTGGACTACAAACAGCGATTTTTGGCAGATTTCGCTGATGATGAGTTATTTAAATATGAAATAGAGTAAGAAATGCAATTAAAGCACGGCAAGAATAAACAGCACGGCCTCTTTCTGAACTCTACTTATTAGTCTTCTACCACTATGGCAAATAAAGTATCCCGTTTTGCGCCATGAAGACCGTTTTTCTGATGACTAGTTCTGCTACTACCTAAAAACTAGAATTTGAAGCCGCTGTGGAGAACCACCTGGACCCATGCGAAGGGTCGTTTATGTGAGGCAGCGTAATCGCACCTCTCTTGTCACTAGCGCAATCGGGGAGGGCCAAGATAGTTTTGGCGGCCTTATGACACCATCGCAGGGCATCTCATCTGTCGGACGTTAGGTAGCATGCATCGAGGTCGCAAGTCAAGCTCAGCTTCTCCCATACCGATTGCGTATTTAACTATTTTCTTGCGCTGGTTTCGTCAAACATGGAACCATACTTGAGTGCGTGTCAAGAAGTGAATACAGCGCCATCCTCTCGGTGCCTCTGGTGTGCGACAACTGTGATCAGAACTCAGATAGTTTGGCCAAATTGATAGTCACTGCAATCAAAAACTAATTAAAGCTAATGTCTGCATCTCTTCGAGAAAGAGGGCCTAAAACAACTGTCACGGAGATTCGTTGAGAGGTATATGTGCCTTCTGGATACTGTTTAGGAAATCCGGTTATTCAGTTATCCACTCAGAGTGTGACCTTGACTATGGTCTCCATTTTACAGTACATCTTGTAATCCGATGAGAAGCATAAGTCTTGCAGCTAAGAGTCTGAAGAGCTTGTGAGTTCAATAGATACCCAGTAGCACCTAAGTCAAGAAAAATCTCACAAGAGACCATCTAGTTTGCTACAGAATTGCACACATATACGGAACTCATAAGAATGGGTATATAACTGAGAAATTGTACTTACTAGATTTCGGGGCGCTAAATTGAGGGAAGAGTCCATGATCGGCGGAGTTCGACCATCTGATGGGCGTCAAGAGAGACGAATCAGAACACTGTTTTTTACCAATGCAAAGTCGATTAGCCGTGTGAGCATGTTTGTACTCATATCTACGAGTTCTACCACCACCACTCCCGTTTCAACCTGAACGGATACCAACGTAGACACCGTTGGAGGACACCCACAAAGAGCACCAAAGCTAGGAGTCCATGGTTCCTAATCCGCTCTCCATCATCACCCAGATTTTGGTAACTAAAGATAAACTTCCCCGCTGTGAACTGCTTTCGTTGGGTCACAACACTTGCCGGAGCAAGAGCTGGCAAAAAAGTCGTGAAGTAGAGCGCAGGAGAGAAGCTCCCTAAAATCTGTTTAACATATGGAAGGAGAGGGTTCATCGGGGCTGCCATCAGCGCAGCCTCCCAGCACTGTTGCATGACTCAATTCAACAACATTACCAACGGTCTATCTTCTTCGAGTTACGTTATTTGACATAGTAG